GTGACATTTCTCATGTAACTCTCTCCCCACCCGCGGGGTGGGGGCGGGGCGTCCCTTAACCAAGCACACTTACGTCAATATTCATGAATGCATTGCATGAACATTCCCAGAAAATGGGATCCACACACACTAAAATTGTCAAGTGTCCGTTCAAGTCACCAAAGGAGCCTGTTCAGGTCCGATTTAGCCCCAGACATGACATACCCTGAGAGGGCACACACGTTTGGCCAGAACTTTGGGCCTTGGGACCCACAGAGCAGCAACGGTGGCTGCCGTGACTTCTCCACGTGTGGAGCCCTCTGTGACCTGGACTGTGTCCGCAGAGGCCGCTGCGCTCAGGGTGAGTGTGACCCCGCCCCCGAAGGTCCGTGGCCAGTGCCCGAGTGTGCGGGCCCTCCCGTGCCTCTGCGTGGCCCTGAGACGCATGTCTGTCCTTACAGACCCGCCACGCAGGTCACAGCCGCTGGAGGAGAGGCCCCCTTGCCTGCTGCCCGGGCGGCTCACCAGCTCCTCAGCCGGCTGGAGCTGGAGCCGGGGCTGGCGGGGGTCTGCAAGCGAGCCCGCCGGTGCCTTCTTACAGACGGAGTGGACGCCCAGAGAGGGTGAGGGACTGGTGCAGACTCACACAGCTAGCCAGGGAGCCGAGATGGGGGGAATTCAGACAGGGCAGAGGTGCTGGGGGCATGTTTAAAAGCTGGGACTAGACAAGCCTCCCACCCTGGCTACAGACCTCAGAACAGCCCGCTAGCAAGGGGAGCACCCCCGCCCCAGTGACGTTTGAGAGGTTCCCCCCCACCATACACTTCCAGGCTTGGAGGGAGTGTGGAGGCGGGGAGAAAGGGTCACTCAGTCACGCCTGGCGTCCCCCGTTAGTGCACCCCGTCCCCAGGGGTGCTGGTGGGCGCTGCCGGCCCAGGCGGGGCGGCCTGGCCGTGGGGGTGGGCGCCCCCTGCCCCCCCAGGCGCCCCTCTCCCCCCTGCGGACGCCCCGTCCCTGTGTGGGCTGCTTTGACTCCGTGCCCGAGCTGAGCTTAGGCAAACCACGCCGCACTGGACGCCATTCAAGCTTTTACAGGCCCTCAAATTGGGGCTGGAGCCGGAGAGGAAATACTAAAATCCTGTGTGCACAACTTCTGTCTGTGCGAGCGTGGATCCAGGAGCATCGGGCGCGCTGGGGACACATTCGGACTGTTTAAAGGCCCCGCTCCTTTCGCCGCTCTGTTTTTAACGGGATCACGGATGTGTCGCCCAAACCCAGGGCTCCAGGGCGTGGGCCCGGGGAGGCGGCTGCAGGGCCGCGAGCTGCCGAAGGACGGACTGTCGGGTGCGGGACTGCGTCTGTCTCCCACCCCCAGGCGCCAGCACACAGAGCTGGGCGCGGAATCCCCGTGATCCCTAAGCCACACATGCTCATGGCCCGGGCCCCTGGCCCCTCGGGCCAGCAGAGAGGTGCTGCTTAGAGGGCCTTCGGAATCAGGCAGGCCTGGTGGGGGAAGGCGGCTCAGCACTTTGCAGCTCCTGGACGATTGGCCAGGCCTCCCTTTCTGCATCTGTAGGATGGGCGCAGTAGTGGTAAGCTTCCTCAGGTTTCCTGTGAAGACTCAAGAGAGGACGGTGATAGGGAAACAGCCGAGTCTGGCACATCATAGGTGCTCACTGAATGGTAGCCCTTGTTATTATTTGTGTGAAGTAATAGTAATAGCGCCATTAAGATCCAGGCAAACGCTAAATGCTACGTACAGTTTACATTTTGTGGGGGAGAGACTAGAACCTCAAGGAAATGAATGACCTACTTAAGGTCACACAGTCAGCAATTGGCTGGGTCAGGATTTGAACCCAGGCAGTCTGTTTCAGAGTCTTAGGTGCTTGGCTGTCCCTCTGTGCCTATGGTGTCCTCTGCCTGGCACGAAGCTCCCCACACTTGGACCCCAGCCCACCCGCCCAGTGTAACCCCCACCGAGGGCTCTCAAGCACCTCTCCTGCCACTGCCCAGCCATCCCCCGGGATTCCGAACCAGGGCTCCCCCTCCCAGCTCGCAGCCCAGGCTCAGCTCAGTGCAAAGCTCTGTCTGCTGCCTGGCCCTCGGTCCTCCCTGGCCTCCCCCTCTAGAGAGATCCGCTCCCTCTCTGAGCTGTCCCAACGCTACCCCCACCCCTAACACGTGCACCTTCACGTCTCCCATCCCCTTGACCTTGGGCCACTTTGGTATGTGGATGTGTTTGTACTCCTTGTTTTCGTCCCTCGTTAAGATCCCTGCAGGTCTGGCCCAGTCTCTTCGGCAAAGCAGGGTCTCCCATTTGGGGAAATTGAATTTTTACTGATGGCAACTCTGAGCTGATGGGTGACCTCACACTGGTATCCTATGTGAGGGAAGCAGAAGAAGGGCCCAAGCCCACTTGCTTTGGGGAAGTGAGGGACAAGGTGGGCATCAGCCCCATCTTTCTGCATCTGCTACCAGACCAAGAAACATCCAGGACAGTGAGAGCATGGTCTGGCTCCCCTGTCCACAAGGGTTTGTGGGGTCTTGCCCACCCCTGCCTCTACCTCCCCCTTAATTGTTCTGTCATCGGGGCCTCTCAGGAGCCCTGCTCAGCCTCAGGTAAGGACAGATGCCTCAGGGGTCCGAGCTCCTTCTGGCTGGGCTCCCCCAAACAAGCAGCCCGCAAAGGGCATCTGTTCTCCAGCCTGTCCCCAGCTTGAGCCGAGCTGGCCTGCACCTGCCTGCTGGGTCTTCCAGTCTTCTGCGAGTGCCCCCGCCCTGCTTCCCCCCAAACAGCCCGAACCCCCAGTGCCCACACTCAAGAGGCTCCACAGTGTTGTGGAGATCGCATGGCTTTGGAATCTGGAGGCTGGGTTTCAGTCCCAGCACGGTGGTTCCATGAAGTCTTGGGCACGCCCTTTAATCCCTCCTGAGCCCCAGTTTCCCCGTGGGAGCGATAGCGTCTGTCTCGTTTCCTTGGCATTAGGTGGCATGAGAGGTATGAGAGGACCTGGCACACGGCGGGAGCTGAAGTGTTGGTTGTTTGAGTAGGAGTCACACCACTGGGGTGACCTGGACCCTCCAGGTGGTCTGGGAGCCCAGCTGGAGGGGATGACCTGGTGACCCGGCCCCCCTTATAAGAAGGCAGGGGTTGGTCCTGGGGAGACCCGTGGCCCCTGCGGGACTCACAGCTGAGCGCTCCCTCCTCCCATAGAGAGTGGAGGGGCTGGTTTTTGCCCTGAGTACCTCTCAGCTTTGACCCTTAGGGGTGGTGTCCGTATATGGGTGCTGCTGCGAGTCTGGGGGTGCCACGGGGGCCATGGGGGGACCCCCCCAGAGGCCTGGGAGAGCTGCAGTGGTGCCCTGTGGGTGCGGACTGGCTTGTGACCACACACCAGCCACCCCAAGGGCTTCCAAACAGGGCACAGTGCTGAGGGGCTGAGGATCTGCCGGTGGGAGAACCGAGGTGCCTGTCACCTTCTGCCTACAGGCCGGTGGGACCCGAGGGTCCGGGCGTCTGCACCGCTCCCCTGAGGGGCATGGACGCTGGACGCCACATCCTGCTCATACAGCCCCGAGAGCAGGCGGCCTCCTTGAGCGGCCCGTTCCGCCGGCGGAGCGCGGTCTGCGCGGCGCGACAGTGCCCTCTGCTGGCCATGCGGGGCTGCCACCGGCGACTCGGGGCCAGTGCCAGGGGGCCTAATGCCCAGGTGGGCGGCGCCTCCGCAGCCCCGCAGGCGGGAGGCCTGGGAGAAAGCCTGGTAGGTGGGACGCTCCTTCCCATTCCACAAATGGGGAAACTGAGGGCTGGAGAAGTGGAGTAGTGGAGCTCAGGAGTCCACAGCCATTGAATGGCCGAGCCAGACGCATCCGTCTGCGCTCTTTCTCCTACTCCTGCGAGACTCATCTTGTGTGAATGTAACGGAACTCGGGCATGCTGGAAAGACCACTCTTTATTCAATATTATTTCATTAAAATAAAATTATTTATTATTTGTTTCATTAAAATCAAATTAGATTTGGGGCGCCTGGGTGGCTCAGTTGGTTAAGCGACTGCCTTTGGCTCAGGTCATGATCCTGGAGTCCCGGGATGGAGTCCCGCATCGGGCTCCCCGCTCAGCGGGGAGTCTGCTTCTCCTTCTGACCCTCCTCCCTCTCATGTGCTCTCTCTCAAATAAATAAATAAAATCTTAAAAAAAAAATCAAATTAGATTTGACTCCACCTCTGCCAGAACTACAGAAAAATGCATTCTTCCTTGCTTCTGGAAATGGAAGTGGGGCTCCTCCTCCCCAGGCCTGGGCAAGAAGCTGGAGCCTGACATGATGCTAGAAATAGGAGGAGGGTGGGGAGGTTTAAATTCTGTGTGTCAGGACCACTGTGGAAGCTTCATGTGGAAGCCTCAGGGAGGCTCTGTCGCTTCCCTGCCAAGGTTGGCTGCCCTGGAGCTCGGGCTGTGCTCACTCCCTCCCCTGCTGCCCTACACAGCCAGCCCTGCCACCTGAGGTCCTGTCGCCTCCATGGGGGTGGGGGGACTTATATCCTGGCCACGGGGTTCTCCCAAACCCCCTCTTTCTCCTCTCCCCAACTCCCACCCAATCCCCTTAAATTGCTCAAGATCCTGAAAATAAAAGCAGGAAAGGCAGGTTGAATAGGGGAGAGGAAAATCTATCAAGAGCAAAGAGCAAATGATTATCTCAGGACAAGTGCCTGCTTCACTAAAATCAGCTGGGTAGTAAATACGCCTATGGGAAAATGCTATGTCCTTGGAGTGACCTTCATGCTGCAGCTGAAGCCAACAGGACATGACTGGGACAGCGAGTAGGTTGGTTGAATCCAGTCCGAGAAGCCCGGGGGGGTGTGGGGGGTGTGGGGGGGTTGGGCATGGGGAATGGAGCATGCGGACTCCTCAACGAAACCAATAAAAGTGAGAAAAAGAGGTTACGGGAAAGTGGGTGAGGGCATGAACGTCTAGGTAACATGGGTTGCAAAGCCAATGCTGTCTGAAAGGAATAAATATGGGGATGAAGAAGCAAATGAAATTTTACAATCAAAGTGTCATGTTAAGTTTAGGAGTAACCCGTGCATAGTTGTTTCTTTAAAATATTGTAATAGTTATGACAATCTTGTATATTAAAGACTGACGTATTAGCCTGATGCTTCCAGGTTTAGATGTGTGATAAATATAGACTTCTGATTTTAAGTTGGAAGGGGAACGAAAATTTGATTTTATTTTTTGTGAATACTAACAGGATTTTAAAGAAAACTGGTGTTTCACTATGTTAATACATTTTAATTTTTCTTTCTGTTCTTTCACTATGTTAATACACTTTATTTCTTAGGCATATAAGAATTTATTACTTGCTTGTTAGAGTCATTCGTTTGCTTTGTTAGGCAACTGCAGTGCTTACAAAGGAAATGTAATATATTAAATTTATAAATGCAGTTCAAAGTGTTTAGAGGAATTTAATTAAGTTTACAGATGATCTCTAAAGGGAGCTTAGGGTCTTCAAGTTGAGTTAATAGATCATTAATCAAAAAAAAATTGAAGGTCACTGTTCTTATCTTGCCATTTTTATAAACAGAATAACAAGATTTATAAACTGAACATAACAGCTTAAGGATAACTAGGTTATTTCTATTTTAACGAAAGGAACATTAATTTAAAACCTAAGTAACTGTAAGGAGTCCTTTCTGGACTGCCCTCCAACATAAAAAAAATAATTCACAATGACAGCTATTCATACTAAGCTAACGTTTATGGAGTGCTTTACACTGATTATCTCATTTAATCTTCCATTCCAGATGGGAGACACTGGGAGGGCAGGAATTTGCTCAAGGCCACGCATTTAGAAAGTAGTACAAGATGGACGTGAGTTGGCTCTTTGACTCCAGAGACTACATGATTAGGCCACAGTGTTGGATGATCTCTGGGGCCCGGGTTTCTAGGATTTGCACTGAGCTCCCTGGAGAACGGGCTTGCTCTCCCTAACTTATACCAGTGAATGTTGTCTTGTCAGCACCCACCCCTGCCCAGCCACTTCAGGGCTCACCAGAAATGGGGAAGGGACTTCTGAATGCTCGGATTTGAACCCCTAAGTACCATTTGTAGATATTCGTGTCCTCCAACACACACATTCTGATACCAGCCAAGGCCTCATGACCAGTTACAGGCATGAAGTATGGGAGCTTGCATATTTTCTTCCTCATATACATTCGACATTTTCCCTCTTGTCTTTCCCCTAATGATTTATATAAGAAGTGCTGGAGGTGTTTCACATTACAATACGGTTTCTACGTAACAAAGTTCAGGTGGGATGGGTGACTGAATTAGAAGAGGAATTGACCTTGCCCAGGGAAGGAGGCCGTGACTAGTGGGACTTGGTGTCTAATATTTTGCGGACAAATTTACCATGAGCATTAGGGATGTTTGTGAAGCGCCTAGCCCAGTCCTCGATAGAGATTTTAATGGCTGGTAGGCACAGTTTCAATACTATTCCGTCTGCCTGATCTTATAAACCACCAAAATGCCCTGGAAATTATGACTGGTTGGCATTTCTTTTAGGTTCCTTGACCCAATTTCAACACTGGGTGGGTGGGGGGGTTCACCACGAAACAATTCTCAGACACCAAGAACACAACTCAATTCCAACACCATCTCTCCGGAGACCACATCCGATTCCACCGGTTAAGGGCTCAGTCCCACAAGACTGCCCTCCACCCCCCACTTCAGATGCCAGGCACAGCCCTAGCTGTTACCAGTGCTTCTGACCAAACTGCTACAGACTGGAGGTCCCAAAAACCTCCTCATCAGGTTCTCTTAATTTGGGTGCTAGCGTGGCTCACAGAACACAAGTCAACACATTGGCCAGTTTATTAAAGGATGTGATAGAGCGTACAAATCAAGAGCCAGATGAAGAGATGCAGAAGGCAAGGAATGGACAAAGGGTTCAGAGCTTCCATGCCCTTCCAGGACAGCTAACAGTCCCAGTCTCCACCTGCTCACCAACCCAGAAGCTCTCTGAACCCTGCATCTGGTATCTGAATGACCAAATATATATTTTCTAGAAATCACTATATCTCAGCATCCAACCTGCACACTGAAAATAAGGCGCCCAGAGCCCTCTCATGCTTATGCCCCAGGATCTGTCTGAGTTTGTAAACCCTCTTTCCGAAGGTCGTGTGTGAACACCAAGCTTGTCCCTGGTACTGGGGCCACAGACCCAGGGTCCCCTCAGAAACTTCTTCCTTCTTCTCTGTCCCTATTTCTAGCCCATCTTTATTTTCCATACTCAAAGGGCAATCTTTTTCCTCTCCATCATACACGGATGAAGACATTTCATCTACATACGTTACCAAGGGCAACTGGGAAGGGGCTGTCTACACTTTCCCACCTATTTAACTCCTTCTGGCTCAAAAAAGCAAATCTGGGGAACCCCTGTTTCAGCTCCAACATGTAAAGAGCCTGGAAGTTTTCATTCCCATCCTAACACAAAAAAAGCTGAACAAACTGACAGATCAAGGAGGCAGAAAATCAGTAAATAGATAGTTGAACTGAACAGCACTGTCCGTTGTCTGGATCTTTAACATTTAGAGGATATTTCATCCGACATGAGCAGAATGCACATTCTACTCAAGCTCACACCAAACGTTCACCAACAGTTTGTGTCCCTTCCCTGAAATTCATATAGGGAAGCCCTAATCCCCAGTATGGCTAAATTTGGAGATGGGGCCTCTAAGGAAGTAATTAAGGTTAATGACATAATAATGATGAGGCCCTGATCTGATACAATTAGTGTCCTTATGAGAAGAGACGTCATGAGAGCACATAACAAGAAGGCAGACCTCGGGAGGCCAAGGGGAGAGCTCACACCAGACACCTACCCTGCTGGTCTTGGACTTCCAGTCTCCAGAAATGTGAGAAAATAGATTTCTGTTGTTGAAGTCACTCAGTCTATGGTATTCTGTTATAGCAGCCCAAGCCGACTAAGAGCCCAAGGGAGATCACGGTCTGGGCAATAAAACACACATTAACAAATGTTAAAAAATAGAAACCATACAAAATACAGTAAAATTGGAAAGAGCCAGCACGAGTGAGGGCCCTGGACCCTAAGTTCCACTGACTCAAGGCAAATCTTCTGATGGTGACCCCAGTTCAGGCAGGCCAGGTCAGCCTCCCTGTGCGTGTCTGTCCTCGGCAAACCTCTCTCCTTCTCTCTCTCTCTCTCTCTCATTCTCAATGTGTGTGTGTGTGTGCGTGTGTGTGCGTGCGTGTGTGTGACTATGCTCCGGGACATGTGAAGGACATTCTGTAGCTATGAGGATCTGATGAGGCAGCTGAACCAGGCTTCAGGGTCCAGCCAGGTCTGCTGCTGGATTTGGTGGCCGGGGAACAAAGATTTCTGTAGCCAGGAGACAAGAGAAGTGGCAATTGGCTCATGGGATAGTCCTGGAGAGACACTAGAATCTTTCCTCTGGCCTCATGCAGACAGGTGCACGTGGACAGACACGTGCACGGAGTCCTTCCTCGGCCACGGGACACGATGCAACCTCCACTGACATTTTGCAGGTGAGTGTCCACTCAGCCTCAGAGTGAGCAAGATTCCCAAGGTCTTCCCTTGGCAGTGGGGCTGTGTTGTGCTGTGTAAGCTGCAGGATTAGCTATATGTCATCTTTGAGGTTCCAGAATTCTTTTTAGAAGTGGAATCTGGAGGGTTTTTATCAATGAGACAAGCCAATCTGGATGACCCTTCTCACCTCTGGAGAGCGGAGTCCACACGGAAGGTTTGGGGACTGGAGTTAAATAAGGATGATGTTGGAAGGATCCATAGCAGTGGGGTTAACACCTTTGACATTGAACCTGTTGAAGCAATATAGTAAATTTATTACACTTATACAATCATTTTTCTTTAATGTGAGATGCAGTAAAATCTTGCTTTCAGATTACTTATGCCAGGATTCATAAAAATTAGTAAAATTTCTAAATTGTAGCATTTTAAATCTGACATTACTAATTTAAATACAGGACATCAAACCCTTAAAAAAAAGTGGAGTTTGGTTCAGGCAGCAGAAGGGACAGCTGGACTCATCCTTGGGGTGAGGTGGGGTGCGAGGCTGGGAAATTGGCTACAGATGGATGCAAAGACAGCTGAGTATCTCTGATGTTTGACCTGCAGCACCTGAATGGCCACTGAGGGATGTCCTGGATTCTGAGGAGGCTCCTGAGCCACTGGCTTTCGTGTCTTCAGAAGGATGAAGAAAATATAAATAAGACTACTTACTGGCTTTATTGAGGTGTAGGTACAGGCCATATTATTCATCTCTTTGAAGTGTACAATTCAGTGGTGTTTAGTATATTCAGAGTTGTGTACTCATTCATTACCACAATTAATTATAGAACATTTTCATCACTCAAAACATAAAACCTAGCACCCTTAGCCAGCATTTCCCAATCCCCCCCATCATCCCAATTCTAGGCAACCATTAATCTACTTTTTGTCTCTATAGATTTGCCTATTCTACCCATTTCATATAAATTGAGTCATATAATATATGGTCCTTTTAGACTGGCTTCTCTTAGCATGTTTTCAAGGTCTATCCATGTTGTATCACTACCTCATATCTCATTCCTTTTTGTGGGTAAATAATATTCCAACGTATGGATATGCCGCATGTTACTCATCTATTCGTTAGTTGCTAGAATTTGGGTTGTTTCCATGTCTTGGCTAATATGAATAATGCTGCTGTGAACATCCACATGCAAGTTTTGTGTGGACCCATATTTTCATTTCTCTTGGGTATGCATGTGGAATGAAATTGCTGGGTCATATGATAACTCCCTGTGTAACCATTTGAGGAACTGCCAGACTGTTTTCCAAAGCGGCTGCACCATTTTATATTTACACCAGCCATGTATGAGGGCTCCAGTTTATCTACATCCTTGCCAATACTCATTATTATCTTTGTAATAATAATAATTTTAGGGCGCCTGGGTGGCTCAGTTGGTTAAACGACTGCCTTCGGCTCAGGTCATGATCCCAGGGTCCTGGGATCGAGTCCTGCATCGGGCTCCCTGCTCTGCGGGGAGCCTGCTTCTCCCTCTCCCACTCCCCCTGCTTGTGTTCCCTCTCTCACTGTGTCTCTCTGTCAAATAAATAAATAAAATCTTAAAAAATAATAATAATAATTTTAAATTTTGTTATTATTAATATTATTACAGTCATCCTAGTGGCGTGAAGAGGCATTTCATCATGGTTTTGATTTGCATTTTTCTGATGGCTAATGCTATTGAGCATCTCTTCATATGTTTATTGGCCATTTGTATATCCTCTTTCCTCTTTGGAGAAATGTCTATTCAGATCCTTTGCCCTTCTTAAAATTGGGCTATTTGTCTTTTTATGACCAAGTTGTAATCATTCTTTACATATTCTAGATATAAGTCCATTATTGAATATATATTTGTAAAAATGTTCTCCTATCCTGTGGGTTGTCTTCTCACTTTCTTGACAGCGTTCTTTGAAACACAAGTTAGTTTATGATCATACCCAGTTTATCCTTTTTTTTTTCTTTTGTTGCTCATGCTTTTGATGTCTTATCTAAGAAGCCAATACCAAATCCAAGGTCAAAAAGACTTACCCTCATGTTTTCTCCTGCAAGTTTTATTGTTTTAGCTCTTATATTTAGGCCATTGATCCATTTTGAGTGAGTTTTGTGTATAGTGTGAGGTAAGGCTCCAACTTCATTCTTCTGCGTATGGAAATCTAGTTGTCTATCTTCTGCCCAGCTGTTCTATCCAAGATTGAAAGCGGGGTCTTGAAGTCTATTATTATTGAATTGTCAATTTCTCCCCTCCATTCTGTCGGCCTACCATGAAACCTCATCATAGAATGAGTGAGCTGGGATGAGGATGATTGGGGCCCCAATATTCTTGGCCTGTCATGCCCAGGGCACAGCCTCCACCATATGGCTAGGGGCTGGGTAGAAGAAAGTAAGCCCCAACCTCTTGGCTACGCTTGCTTTTTAAATTTAGAGTGGAAGGGGATGAGAAATGCTGATAGCCTGTCCCTACTGGTGAGATAAAATAGCTCTTAATCAGCTGCTGAGGGGAGAAGAAGCCTGTCTTCTCGGCCACACCACCTGAAATGGAGCTTCCATCAAGTGGAGACGGTTAGGGGTGGGGAAGGAGGGAGAGGGTGGTGGCTCAAATACTTGCTGTTTTTACCGAGTTTTAGCAGATTTTCTTGAAAAAAATCTTTCTTCATTTGCTATATGTTCTTAGGATAATTTCCAGACACTTAAACTTTTCAAAAACAATTTTAGCAGCTTTGCTTGTGTCACTGGGGAGGGGCTCTGTGCAGCTCCCCATGCTTCCAGCTTGCAAGTAGAACCAAACTTTTTTTAAACATATAAAGAATTCTTGTGAAATGTTTAGAAAAAAATGAACATGCCCCACAGAAAAATGTGCAAAGAGCAACAGGCAATTTACTTTAGAAAAAATACAAATAGCCAATTAACAGAGAAATATTGAGCCTCCCTAGCAGTCAAAGATATTCAGTTCAAAATAACACATTGTTTTTTTAATCATATTGTCAAAAAAGAGAAAAATACTCAGGATTATCAAGGCCATGTGTAAACAGACACTTTCCCCTATGGTTGAGGGGAGTATAAATTAGGGTGACTCTTTTGGAGAGCAGTTTGACAGTACACACCAGGATTTTTTTTAAAACATGTGTCCCTTTGACTTAGTGATCCTATTACTAGGAACTTATCCCAAGGAAATTACCTAACAAGAATTCAAATATATATTATTTATAATATTAAAATTAAAACAACTTAATTATCCTTTCTGGAGATGGTGGTTTAATAAATTATGGTGTATTCAAACATAGCCATAAAAAGGATGAGGTAGATCTATATGAATTAACATTATTAAAGGTGGGGGAGGGGCGCCTGGGTGGCTCAGTTGGTTAAGCGACTGCCTTCAGCTCAGGTCATGATCCTGGAGTCCCAGGATCGAGTCCCGCTTCGGGCTCCCTGCTCGGCAGGGAGTCTGCTTCTCCCTCTGACCCTCCCCCCTCTCATGTGCTCTCTCTCATTCTCTCTCTCAAAAAAAAAAAAATCTTAAAAAAAAAATAAAGGTGGGGGAGATTATTACAGAGAAGTATGGCTTATATGATTCCATCTATAAAATCTAATCTACCTATAATCATTTATGTATGCACATGCATAGAAAAAATTACCCTGGAGAACATAAATTTTTAAATTTTTGTCTTTCTGTATGTATGTTAAAATGGATCTCCAGTGGACATGTGTTATTTGTACCGTAAAGAAAAAACCCAAGTTGGGTTTTTTACTGATGGCAGGCGGAGGAGTCAGGGGCTGTGGGTAGGCAGAGACCCGCAGATCAGGAAAGTGTCAAGGCAGGGTGGGCTCTGCAGGGTCTGTAGGAGCTCCGTTGCCTCCCAGAACCTCGCTCTTCCAAACCATCCATTTAACAAGTGACAAAGTTGGGTGTAAGAGACACCGCAGAGGGACAACCCACCTGGCCTGCCAGCACTGGACAGGACTGAGTCATGGCATCTGTGAGATCCCGTCTATCAGTAAGCTGGTCAGTGGAAGAAGAGCTTCAGTGTTAGGACAACACTTTCAGCCGTCGAGTCTGAGGTCCAGGCTAGCCTGGTAGCCAGGGAGGAGGTAACATCCTGAAGAAGGAGGACATACTGGAGGCTTGATAGGGCGGTCCCCCTGCAGACCTGGGAATGGAATAAAAAGAGGTAGCATCAGATCCATGGGAGTGGATGATCTCGCAGGAAGAGATCAGTGAGAAAGGGAGAAGAGAGAGGATGGAGGGCAAAAGCATGGGAGGAGGTGGGGGAGCCCGAGAAGTGGTGAGAAAGAGCAGGAAGAGGGGTAGCGCCCCGACAGCCAACGGGGCAGGGGAGCCTGCAGGCCAGACTTCTGAGTACTGGGCTCCACCCTTTGTCCCTGGGGGCCGCCTGGAAGCCCAGCGCCGAGAGCTGTGCACACACCTCATGGACACTAGGCGACGCTGTGGTCCACTCTAATGGCCACACCTTTCCAGGTTGGCCGTTTTCTTTTCATTAAAGAGAAATTACTATGTGCTGGGGGCCCGCCAATGCCCTGTTTAACAGATGAGAAGCCCAGAGAGGGGCTGTGAGTTGCCCCAAGGCATATGCGGGCGTTGTAGCAAAGGTAGGCTTACCTCCCAGCCTCCTGGTTCCTATCCCAGGCTCTGTCCAGTCACACCCCAGAAACAGATCTGGAAAAGTGGCTGGCAGAATCCTGGGTCATGAGGCTCACCAGGCCTGGAGCTCCAGCACCACTTTTCAGTCTTGCCCATGGTGAAGTCACTTCCCTCGGGTTTCCCATCCTTTCTCTGTTTCCAGTACCCCACCCACCACATCCTTCATCCTCTTTCCGCCTGTGGCCACAGTGATGTTTCACAACGTAAGTTGGATCAAGTCACTCCCACTAACACACTTAATGGCTCCAGAATGCTCTTTTACCCTGACGTTCATCTTAGTCTGGCCTCTAGAAGTTGTCTGAGAAAGTTGTGTTGGGTCACCTCCACATCTTGGCCGATCCCTTCCCTCTGCCAGGAACTCTCCTCCCCGCCCCTCCTCTCATTCTGCTCATCACGGCTTTGGCCTCAGGTTGACTTCCCTGACATCCCCTCATCCTGTCCACGGTGGCCTTGCCCTTTGCTTCAACACATACCTTTATCATTTACTTCTTTAAGCAGTTTTCCCCTCTAGACGCAACTCCAGAGCTGTAGGACAAGGTCCATTGGGTCGGCAGCCTGTCCATCAGGGTCCAGCCGTGGCTCTTGGAAGGCTATAGACATGAAGGTGGCCGTGGTGGCAGAGGGGGCAAGGAGCTGGGGCTTGGTGGCACAGGGTGGTGTCTTTAGGACACTGCTGCTCGGTACTAAGATACAGCCGGAGGGTCTGTCGGGCATGGTGCACAGTGTTTGAACAAATGGTGTTCAGGACAGAATGGTCAGCCGGAGCTGCAGAACTGAGCGCCTGACACAAGGACCATCCACTGTTCGTTTCACTTCCATATTCTAAGACCTGGTATATTTTAGTGTGTTTGAAAATAAAGCAACCACTGGATTCTATTTCAGTTGCAAGTTTTGGAAAATGTGGGGATGTATCTGGAGCAGGTAGGTCTCAGCATGGCCTCTGTTCTGACCTGGCCTGAGCTCTCCCAGAGTGGGACCAATGGACCCTGGAGCCAGACAGTGACAAAATGTCACAAAGCTGATGGTGGACAAGCACCCCACCACGTCATTCCTGTGGATACACCAACTTTGGGCTATTTGTTCATAGGATGAATTCTTCAAAATATTTCCCTCTCCTTGCTCTCTGGTAACAAAGTTGCATCAGTGGGTCCTAATAGAGGTTTTGTATTTCTCCAAGGCATAGGCAGGACGGCCAAATGGCTACTTAAATACAAGTTTGTGACAGAAAGGAGGTCATGTCTCTACTATGTGAAGACTTCAAAAAAGCTAAAGAAATGAAAAAAATTATCTAAATAAGCTTTTCTTCTGTTTCATATTTCAATTTTAAATAATACTTAAAATCTTATTTTAGAAGTGTTCAAAATTAGACAATAAAAACTGGACCGTCTTTTGTTCCTGCAGGAAATTATGACACCTGACAAATAGAAACAAGGTGGTTGTCTTTGCTCCTTGCCCCTGGCCAGAATCTCTTTGATTGTCAGCTCAATTTTTGCTGTCTTCCTGAAAAGGGAAGATTCTTTCTAGTTGGAGGAAAGCCAAATCATTGTTGAATACAGGACATAAGCAGGGGGTGGGGAGGGACAGAGAGAAGGGAGTGGGAAGAAAATCAGGACTGGCTCTTTATGGAGAGAGGCCTGGGGAAGATTCTGGAGAGACTTTGATGTAGCTGCAGGCTGAGATGGAAGCAGTCAGAAGTCACCCCTTCTAAAAGTGGTTCCAAACGTCCTGGGATATACACTTTAAGAAACACACACACACACACACACACAAAAGTATATAAAACAATAAGTATGGTGATTATATTGTCCCAAGTAAGAATCAAGGCATTTGACCTGTTAATTGGACAGGACAGCTGGAACTGAGACTTCCTACCCCTTCCAGATGAAGGGTACCCAGTCAGTGTGCATGAACCCTACAGGAGATGCTTGTCTGTGAAGCCATGGGTTGTACTGGATATTTCCTCACTCCCTGTCAGTCTTCTGAGGGACTAGTGGTGGCTGGGTGGGGACAGTAGGTGAGGTTAGTAAGAAGATGGCCTGTCCCTTCTTACCTCTCCTCAGCTCTCCCCCAGGGTTTGCAGTGCACTTGTGTTCTTAAATTTAGGTCAAGTTTGTAGAGAAAAGTGACGTAGATGAGCCACAGGCAAAAGATGGGGAGGGAAAGGCCACTACTGTGACATTCCACTCAATCTTTCATTTTAGGACAGCATTCTTAGTTTAGACTAGAATCTAATTTTGCTTGCTTGGTGTGTGTGTGTGTGTGTGTGTGTGCGTGCTTGTTTTGAATCTCACTCAGTCTTCATACTAAGTAAGCATCACACTGGAAGAGCAAACCACTCCAGGACAAAGCCTCCGTCAGAAGGCCTTTTGTCCACCATTATTTTAAAAGACAAGGACAGGGCGCCTGGGTGGCTCAGTTGGTTAAGCAACTGCCTTCGGCTCAGGTCATGATCCTGGAGTCCCTGGATCGAGTCCCACATCGGGCTCCCTGTTCGGCAGGGAGTCTGCTTCTCCCTCTGACCATAACCCCTCTCATGTGCTCTCTCTCTCAAATAAATAAATAAAATCTTTAAAAAAATAAAAAAATAAAAAAAAATAAAAGACAAGGACACATAACTCAAAATGATCAGATCTTTGGTAATTATGTCTTTGAAAAGTAGTCTTTATTGTGTAAATTATGTATAGTAAAAGAAAAAAAAAGGCAGACAAGTATGTACATACATACAATAGAGGTAGATCATCTTGGTTTCCAAATTCCATATAATAAACTGGCTGCTTTGACTACAAAACAGAGAAACTTTGCCGCAGGACCTTCCCTATTACAGTCTGAAACACCAACCCCCACATCCACACTTTGATACACTTTGGCAGGTCTTTTGTGTTCTGAGCACCCAAATTCAATGCGTGTTGGCGGGGTTCCCCACACCTCCAACAAGCAATGCTCTGACACCCACAGGTGAGAATTCAACTCAAGTCTGACACCATTCACCGGAAGATAGACTTGGATCCCAGTGGTCTCGAGAGTTCAGTCCTACAAGCGCCCTCCCCACTTGTGATACCAGTCCCAAGCTCAGACTGTTACCCGGGCTTCTGCCTTACTGGCTACAAACTGGAGGTTCCAGTGAACCCCTCCAACTCAGGATGCAAATCGCCAAGCCCTGGTGGTTATCTGTACTTCTGACCGACCGGTTAATAAATCAGAGATCCCCAAGGGCCCCTCCTCAGGTTTACTAATTCGTTAGAGTGCCTCACAGAACTCAAACATTTCACTTACTAGATGGCTCGTTTATTATAAAAGGATAGAACTCAGGAAGAGCCAGATGAGATGCAGAGATGCATGGGGCAGGGTATGGGTACAGGGCTGGGAGCTTCCATGTCCTCTTTAGGTGCGCTACTCTCCCCAATTTCCATGTGTTTGTCAGCTGAGAAGCTATCTGAACCCCATCCTTTTGAGGTTTTGTGGAGGCATTACATAGGCACGGTTGATTAAGTCGTTGGCCATTGGTGAATGATTCTAACCTTCGGCCCCTCTCTTCCCCAGAGGTCAGGGGGTGGGACTGAAATCACTTGGTTGGGTCCTCTGGTGACCCCATCTTCAGGTGCTTTCCAAAAGGGATCTCATTAACATAACACAAACATCTTTTTTTGTTTGTTTTTTGAAAGATTTTATTTATTTATCTGACACAGAGAGAGAGACAGTGAGAGAGGGAACACAAGCAGGGGGAGTGGAAGAAGCAGCCTTCCCAATGAGCAGGGAGCCCGATGCAGGGCTCGATCCCAGGACCCTGGGATCATGACCTGAGCCGAAGGCAGACACTTAATGACTGAGCCACCCAGGCGCCCCAACACAAAACATCTTAATCATTCTCAACACTTGGGAAATCCCAAGGGCCTGGGGAGCTCTGTGTCAGAAATGGAGATGAAGATCTCCATATACTTCTTATGACAAGTCCCAACAACACAGCAGGTCTTTGAAAAGATAAGGCACACACCTATTTTGGAAGCTTCAGCAATAAGTTGGTTTTCCACAATGTATGGATATGTATACAGCCACTAAACAGGCCTGTTCAGCTTCTGGCATATTCTTTTAAGATTCATTTAAGTCACTAAGACAATGACGTATAGAAAAGGTGATTGTGTTCATTTACTGCTTTAGTTACCTGTGTTCTGTAATAGGCAAGGCCTTGTTATAGGGGCTACCAATGGAATAAAGTACAAAATCCTGTCACTAGAGAGTTCATTCCTTAATTACAGAGGTCCTCTCGAATTCTCATTGCTTTAGGGCTGGTCGTCAGTTTTCTTCCCACCCCAAATGAGCCAGCCTGATAGGATATCTTGATATGTTACCAGTCCATTCAAAATGACTTTTGCATTTGATTATTGTCCTTACTCACCCTCAACTGGCCCTCACTGCCATGCTGTCTGTCACCTGTCACATTCATGCTATTGCCTGGGAGTGTAGTGTGGTCTTTCCTATCAAGGACCTAACCAACATTTTAAATGAACTCATCGTTTTAAATATCAATTTTTCTTGGAACCGATTTTCTTCAAGAAGTCAAAGAAGATGTGGTGTATATATATATGCAATGGAATATTATGCAGCCATCAAAAGGAATGAGATCTTGCCATTTGCAACGACGTGGATGGAACTGGAGGGTGTTATGCTGAGCGAAATAAGTCAATCAGAGAAAGACATGTATCATATGACCTCACTGATATGAGGAATTCTTAATCTCAGGAAACAAACAGGGTTGCTGGAGTGGTGGGGGGTGGGAGGGATGGGGTGTCTGGGTGATAGACATCGGGGAGGGTATGTGCTATGGTGAGCACTGTGAATTGTGTAAGACTGTTGAATCACAGATCTGTACCTCTGAAACAAATAATACAATATATGTTAAAAAAAAAAAGAAGAAGAAGAAGATAGCAGGAGGGGAAGAATGAAGGGGAGGGGGGGGAATCGGAAGGGGAGACGAACCATGAGAGACGATGGACTCTCCAATTTTAGTATATGTGCTGCCGAAGCGAGCACAAGAGACGATGGACTCTCAAAAACAAACTGAGGGTTCTAGAGGGGAGGGGGCTGGGAGGATAGGTTAGCCTGGTGATGGGTATTAAGGACGGCACGTTCTGCATGGAGCACTCGGTGTTATACACAATGAATCATGGAACACTACATCAAAAACTAATGATGTATGGTGATTAACATAATAAAAAATTAAAAAAAAAAAGATTAAAAAATAAACAACCCCCCCCCCCCAAAAAACTAAGTCAGGTAACAGGAGAGTGAAAATATATTACTTTTAGAAGTTACAAATTTCTGGTTTATAATCCGTTACGAGCATTGCTTCTGTGGGGTATCTAGTGAATATTCGTTCGGCGTCTTTCATGTCTGCACCTTCTGACAATTCACTTCCCTGCATTTCCCACAGAAGGCTGGCACGGCTACATCTGCGGTGTCTTGGGTCCGCAGCCTGACGCCAGCTCAAAACCTGACAGCCCACTTCTTCCCCTAGAGGAAATTTGCAAACTTGTCTCCCTTCCTACATGTTTCATTGACACATCTCACTGGAGAGATCTGCTTTTAAAAAAGAGCCAAATTTCCTAGCATGTTATTTACTTTTGGTCCACCATAGCCCTCTAAAGATGATGCTTTTCTTCTCTGCTCAATGGGTTGAAATTTAATATTGGGAATTGGTCAAATCGAATCGTTTCGATAATGAAAGCTGAACTACCAAGACTGCCATTTCCTTTGTGGGGAGACGTCAATTTCTAGTCCATAAAATGTGAGTGTACACTTAATGACTAGTTCTCCTGCCCAATTTACTTGAGTCTTATATTGGGTGTTGGTTGTAGGTAAATGCAAAGACCATGTTTTGAGTGCACAAATCCATGCTGTCTACTATGACCTTGGGAAGCGGGGAAGGACAGAGACAGATGTGTGTTCCGGCGCTCTGTGTATTGGGACCCGCTTCCCTTTGTCCCTTGTGTTACAGTCTGAGAGCCGAGTGTGTGGTCATGGGAGCGTGCCCTCACGGAGGGTCAGTGCCTGGGGAGAGGGCATTGGTCCCATGGCAGCAAACACAGGGTCCTTTGTTTGAGAGAAGCATTTTGTTACCGTGTGTGAATGGAAGGAAGGCCGGATGTCACACGGTTCCTTATTAAAAGCTCACTGCATTCCAAGGGGAATTGTGCTAACTCACAGGAACTAGTCCTTTTCTTCCGGCTCAGTGGCCTTTACTGAAGTGTCCCAAAGAAAAGATGAAAAGGTAGCCCACACTTGGATGCCGGAAACCTGCCAAGAAGGAGAGTAAGTTGCCATTTCTTAATTTTCCTACGACGCTGGTCTAAAAGGGTCTCCTGGGACAGTAACAAGGCCAAGTCAACAGTCCCTTTGACAATCAAGTCCCAAAGCACTGGGGTTGCAATACAGCTACAACAAAGTGGTCCTTGGTTTTAGAAATCCTCAATAACCTGAGGAGACTGGGGCGTGACCACCTTTTTTTCTTTTACAACTGAGCCTCTGTCTGCCACGCAAACCACACTGACCGTCGATGGCCAAGAGCTCATCCCCGTTCAACGTAAGCAGTTGAGCCAAAAAGTTGGTCTGACAACTTATTTTAACTAAGGGGCCCAAGAAGTGATGACACCCTCCAAATTTGTGAAAACATGCATCGTCAATGCCTTATCGATACACTCTTGGGAAAGGAAAAACCCCGTGCTACACAAAAGGAGCCATGAGGAAGGGAAGGGGACATCTGGGATACATGAAGTTGTCTAGAAGATCCCAATTCAGCTTTACCTAAAAACGTGACACACGTCATCAGAAGATATTCATCCAGTTCCCAAGCATTTCCCTAAGGCCAGCCCAGGTTTCTGGAGACAATTTGTTATCTGTAGGAGAGAAAAAGAAAGAAAAAAAAAAAAACCAAAAAACCCCATACCTACAACTCACTGAAATTTTCTGTGGCCCAAAGTTCCGGTAAGATGTAAGTTAAAATACAGAACGCGTAGAAGTTGTCCTCAGTTGCCTCAAAAGCAAGGACCACGGCCACGTAAGAGGCATATGCGTGTACCTACAAAGCTCTACACATTTGGAGGGGTGACATGAAGCCTGTTACTGGAGAGCCACCTGTGACATCAGAAGCACCTAGAGGTCTGTTCCTCAAAGAGCGAGTGTGTGTGGGGTCGAGTAAGGGAGGAGTAACTCCAAAGCCCAGGAGCCACTTCTAACAAAAAGCTGCCAAAGTGCTCAAAGTTCTTGAAGACAGTCTCTGATCAACTCTGACCGGCTGGTGGACTCCATGAAACGTTCTTGAAAAAAGTACACCTTTTTATGCACTTCGAGCACTTACTCCCTGTTAGGCATTCAGAGGCGAGAGGCCTGGGAAAAGCAATGTAAGGGGACCAGGCCTGACATGGGCTGGACACTGCCGGGTGCCGGGCCCGGAGCCAGCCAGCGGCCTGGCGGGGCAGTGGCACCTGAGTCCACGTGAGCCCATGCGGAAGTTGTCTAAGGAAGTTCCAAACCCTGGCTTCGGTCAAATTGTTAAAAAAAAAAAAAAAAAAAAATTCAGATTTCAAGTAGCCCCTGAAGGACAAGGGGCTGGAGGTGGGTGGTGTAGGGCTGGCCTTCCCTGAGTCACAGGACAGCTGTGGACCATCTTCCTGAGTCTCAAGTTTCAACGCTAAGTCATTTAGCTGGTGAACATTTCTAAGCATTTTCTCTTAAACAGTATTTTGTAAAAGAGAAAGCAAAATCCATAGAAAATGTGAAGTCATCAATCCAGAGAAATACTATTTGCTGATGCCGGCGACTCTGAGCTTGACCCCAGTGCCCTGGAGATCCAAGGGCCCCGTGCGCACACTGTGACAGGCTCCCTGCCCCGCATGTGCTGGGAGGGGGCGGAGGCCGAAGACACCAGAGCGGGCTGGGAGTCGGAGCTGCAGGGGACCGGACGGCAGAAGTGGTGAGCACAGATGAGAACCGGATGGGGCGGGGAGGGAGCAAAGTGGCTGCCCAGCCTCTGATGACAAAGACTAGAGCAGTTAAGAGACAGAAGCTGGAACAAGCCTGTGTTCCAGGAGGAAGTCACTGACACTCGACGTCTCTCCCAGAGTCCCGAGCTGTCTGGGGCGCGGCCCCGGCAGGACGAGGCAGCCCCCACTCTGTGGCTCACGGCCGGCATCCCCCACCGAAGTCTCCACCTAGCAGCATCCAAGGACATCCCAGGGAGATTACAGACTTTTTTTTTTAAGTGCTCAAATTAAGTAGACTATGAGAGCTCCTCAAAAGCTTTTATTCTTTTTTTTTTTTTTGACCAGCACACTGCCTGGTACACACTGCCAGGTAGGCATTAAAAAAAAATTTCTTTTTAAATAGGCAATTTATAACACTGGGAGGATCCTATTTCAATGTTTCAGAAAACATGACTATTCTTGGAAAGGGTTTGTACTTCTACAACTCTGGAGATCAGAAAGTGTGTCCTCATTTTAATAAACCACCTCAGGCAGACAGAGGACCACCTCCGACTATCATTTAAGTGCTTTGGAAGGGCAGTGAAAAAAGTCTCAAGAAATTTAAGAGTTGGCATCATTTCAGCAGAGAGAATGGCTTCTGCAGCCCAGGGTGGCTTCGTACATTCAGAGGACAAAGGAAAGGTCTTCTGTGTCCCTCCTCGGCCAGGGACGGCCACCATGGCTGCCCTGGTTGATGGCTGCAAGGCTGGCAGAAGGCAGACCACAGAGGGGCCGGGAACTTCTCCGACCAGCCCAGGCCGCACGCAGCCGCACGGCTGACCCAGTAGCCGTGCTCTGGCTACTGAGCACGTCATCCCGGAAGCACCTCGGACATGTGTCCCGCCCAACAGTGACAAGGAACCAGAATCTGGCATTCAGGGCTCTCATCGAAGGAGTGACCTCCATTCTCCTTCCACTCAATTACCTGGTATTCTCTGTGCTAAGTAGACATGGACAGAGTTTTTACAAATTAAATAACGTTCTTAAAATACAATAAAACATCATCACATACAAGTCTCTTTGAAAAGTCTTTCCAATTCAATTCTCAAAATTATCTTACAAAAATGTTGTGCAAAAACACTGACCTCAAATAAATAGGGGGGGACAAAGTGGGAAGAGCGAAACTTGTTTTTCGTTTTTTAAATTAAAAGTTAAAAACACCAGCTGCACTTCAAAGGATTTGCAGGATGCAATGCATCGAGAAGACTGTGAAACCCAGCCTTCACGGTTGGAGTTGCATTGTCAGATGAGGTTGCTCCGTGTTCAGAATTCACAATGGATGCCTCCGCTGAGATCCTTCACCACGCCCTCTTTGACCAGCTTGAGGAGGAACCTGGTCTCCGTTGTCACATTATGCATGGTCTGAAAGTTCATGGCAGCCATACAGAGATTGTCGAAGTAGTGCAAAGGTGTTCTGGGTTGACTGAGGTCATATCCAAAGCCTGCCAAGCTGACTTCGTCACACAGATGTGTAGCTAAGACCACAGCAATGACACCGATGGTGGGCACGTTCTGAAGAAGAGGGAAAGACAAAACAAGGCTTAGCACCATTCACTGCTTTCTAAGTGGTATACATGCTCTGCGAAGTCACAGAGGCTTGCCCTGGGCGCTGCGATGTTAACACACCGCATGGTTTTATGGGCCACAGAATCCTCAAGTCTGAATCTAGACTCTAAAACAGGGTCTGTGATGTGAAAACCTTTTAACACACCACCAAGGGTAGCTTGGCAGGTCCTCTTGCCCCAAACGAAAAGGTGTTCTTTGTAAAACTTCTACCTCCTGGTCCTACACGTGATGACCAGAACGGCAAAGCAAGTCCATTTCCTTCTTACGCGACAAAAGTCTATAAGGTCTGCCCTGGAATTAGGAAAATCCCCAGGACCTTCCACCATCGCTCTTGGGACCTGCTTCTGGAGGCCGGCCCCTCCTTGCTGGCTCCCGTGGACGGGGTCGGCCTGAGAAGAGAGCAGCCTCCGCTCCCACCAGCGAAGACCATGTTCACTTCTCACCTGAAGCTGCGTCCCACCGAGGACCCTCATTTGCTTTTCTGGCAAATAACGCTTCCAGGCCATTTTCACACGTACAGCTGCTATGCCAGTTTCTGCCCACCCTCTGTGTGGGCAATTTTTAGGCCCAAATTAAGAGTTTCCACATTTGTTCCTTCTAAAATGTATCCTACTGACCGTGGCCTCAGATGCCAAATGTCTGAACCGTTCTGGATTCTGATGATCTCACCACTCCCTCCCTCGGGTCCGCTATCTCGCCACTTGCAAACCTGGAATCGGATCTCTGTCCCGGTCTTGAGCAAAAACAGTATGCAGGGCAGAGAGAAATACAGAAAGACCTACAGTGGCCTAAGCACTCCCTGAAGGCCCCTGCTGATCTACTAATGACATTCTGTTGTACAGCTTTTCATGTGTAAATGTGCCTACTTTGTTCACTTGAGTCTGTGGCTTCCAGAAACAACTCTCCTCGTCTGTCAACGCGAACAACGGTGAACCTTTCGGAGTTGACAGTTCAAGTGGATTAAGGAACCTCTACAGAACTCATTTGTTCAAAGCCACCCATGCTCCTTGATGTGGGGCATCTGCGTCACTTGTCACTCGGGAAAAAGAAACTCAACAGTCACCGAAGACGAGAGAAATTAACCCAAAGAAAGATTTCTTCCTGTTCAGCCACAGGACCCAAAGGCAGTGTCCCGCCTTACCTGCAGCCAGCCCCGTACCTAGCATATCGGGAAGACTCAGTCAGTGTTTACAGAAGGAGTACGTGAAATCGGCCGTGCACAGGGGCAATGTATGGAGAGAAACTCAGCAGCCATGAAAAACTGCTCAGAGCATGCTATCTCCAGAGCACATCCCCTAAGATGACACCTCCTCATCTACCAGACTTACCTCTCCGCTAGAAGGACGGGTCACCAGGCCTTCCTGACAACAAAATCCCAGCTTACTGTTTATTTCCAAGCTTTGCCCTAGGCATCTCTAGACACACATTTTTACTTTTAAATAAAAACGGAATGGTATACATGCTCGGTAACTTGATTTTCTTGTTTATCACATTATGGAGGAGGTGTGTTCACATCCATTTGTTTTCCTTCATCCTTTAACAGTCACACAATACTGCATCAGCTAAATGTAATATGTTTAAATCATCCCCTAATGAGAAACGTTTAGGCCGTTTTTAAGTCCTTTGTTATTAACATTATGGTAAACATCCCAGAATAGCCACCTTTGCAGATTTCTCTTTTCTCTCTCCCTCTTCTTTAAAGATTTTACTTTTAACTAATCTCTACACCCAATGTGGGGCTCAAACTCACAATCCCAAGGTCAGGAGTCACACGCTCCACCACCTGAGCCAGCCAGGTGCCCCTCTAATTTTCTTATGATAAAATTTTTAGAGTAAAATTGCTGGGTCAAGACTCTTCACATTCACATTTAAAGCCGATATATACGGCCAAACTACCCTCCAACTTATAATTCTACCTGTACTCCTGCCAGGCAAGGACATTATTGAGCCTTTAAATCTTTGCTAAGGAAACAGGAAAAAATGTCATTGTGGCTCTAATTTACTTTTGATTATTGGTGAAGTTGAACATTTTATCATGTATTCCTTGGCTGTATTAATTTCTTCTTTTGTGAAATGCCTGTTCATATCTTTTTTCCCATTTTTTTTTATTGGCCCATCTTTTCTTTTTGATTTAATAAGATCTCCTTATACTTTGGGAGTATTTGCTATTATATATATGATAAAATTTCCCCCGCTTATTTTGTATTCTAACTTTGTTTCTGCTATCTTTTGCTGTTCAGTAACTTCATATTTTATGTAATTAAATCTGCTAATTTTTTAAAGGTTACTTTTTAAATAAAAAGCTACCTACAGGGCGCCTGGGTGGCTCAGATGGTTAAGCATCTGCCTTCGGCTAAGGTCATGATCTCAGGGTCCTGGGACCCATTCCTGCACTGGGCTCCCTGCTCAGCGGGGAGCCTGCATCTCCTTCTCCCTCTGTCCCTCTTCTCTGTTCATGCCCTCTCTCTCTCAAATAAATAAATAAAATCTTAAAAAAAGAATTTGACTCATTGGGCAAACGGACGAACCTGCTAGTCTGCCTACTGGTTACCGGTTGACCATATCTAAGAGTCTAACTCAATGTTTGTAAACTGTGACCCTGACCAGCCCCAGGTACCTGCTAGGCAGTATCTCACGCCCCCAGTGTGAGCAGCACCCCACCCCCATTTCTAAATTCCTGGCTTTCCTTTATATATGGAGATTTTGCTTAAAAGTTTAAGAATGTGGTGCCTGGGTAGTTCAGGTGGTTTAGCATCCAACTCTTGATCTCAGCTCAGGTCTCCATCTCAGGGTCATGAGTTCAAGCCCGGCATTAAAAAAAAAAAAAAAAAAAGAAGTTTAAGGATGATTTCCACTGCTTTTAAAAAAGTTATCTTCAAAGACACAGGCTTAGCTATTTGGCTCATAAAGAAACTGATTATAAAGGCATCACCACCCTCCTGGTGTCAGCACAGGCTCTGCAGGTAAAGAATTTCTATTGCAGTGAACGAACTCTAGAGAGCACAAAGGTTCTCAAATTAGGCTACAAAATAAAATCACCCAGGGGACTTTGAAAATCCCAGTGTATAGACCACAGCAGAGAACAATTAAATAGAAAGTTTGGGATGGGACCCAAGGGTCAACTGAAAAGCACTGCTCTAGGGGGAGAACTTTACTTACCATCACCTATAAAGTGAGGATAAATGTCAAGTCTGACCTGAGTGGCCAACTGAGTTAAAAATGTAAAGAACTTTCCAGACCACCAAAGTGCCTTTCACTCTGGAGTCCCAGAGTCAGAATACCTTAAATAATATCTCAGTGACCTAAATGTTAACATGTGGATTATACTAAAGAGATGAGTCACCAGGGGAATAGCCAAGTAAACAATGAGGAGCCCTGAAATCAAGATGTAGAACAGCAAACACACACGGAGCCTGTAATCAGTGACTACATTTCTATACTGGGAGATGCTTCTGGGAATACAGCTGAGCCTAAATGAAATTTGTACAGAGGTCTCCCTTCCAACACAGAGAAGAACAGTTAACTTTCAATTACAACAAAAATACCTTATCTCGGCCCCAGAACCTTGACTGGGGCTCCGAGTATTGAAGGATGTCAAAGGCGGTCTCTTTGATAATAACTGGATTCAAAATCCTGAAGTGTTTGGGCTGTAGTGGGATTTTTTCCGCCACCTGCTTCCAAAAGAAGAGCCGCACCCAAAATGGCTAAGGGAAGAAAGCAAGCAATCATTAGGGGGACTGAATAAAGTTATCCTGCCATCAGAAGGTGGGAACATGCACCCCTGCTAAGCAGCCCAGAGCCATGGGTGTGACCCCAAATGGGCTGGGGTGCTGCAGTCACTGAGATCAATGCCAGTCCAATGCCCCAGCTCAGAGGAGCAACTCCAAAGGATCTGATTTACAAAGGTGGCACTGGACAAGAAGAGGAACTACAGAATCAGCTCTGGTTTGTTTGGGGAAGAAATTCCCCAGGGAATGACCTGAGAGGGGAAGACTTTTTAAGACCCAAAGGCATCATTTGTCCCCAGGGAAGACCAGGTGAACAGACCCAATTTAAGGGTATTAAGTGCCGTGAGTGCCCCACTCAGATCAGGCCCTCCCCCTACATCCTCCCTCCACTGACTTGCTCTAGTTCCTAATCCTGTGAAGTCTCCTGGTAACCGACTGTAAGTCATTTCCTACGTGCTTCATCTTCCAACTAGACCAACTTCTACCCAGTGGAAAATCCAGATCATGATAAGCTATACAGAATCAGGCTTTGCAGACAGAAATTCTCCACCAGATGGTGCTTATGTGAAAAGTCTAATATATCCTATTAATTCTGCAGACAACTAGTTTTTATGTGTGTGTCTAAATGTGACAGTTGACCTTTGAAATTTATTTCAGCATAATGGATGGTGCCATAAAGTAATATGATCAATTATTACAACGAACAAAAGGGAGCTCATGAGGGCCATTTCCTCAACATCTGCCCCTCTGGAATTCTCTGAATTTCCTCCAACAAGGGGACCACCAGCAGAGCATTTTTATAATTTCTTTTTTTTAAAGATTTTATTTATTTGAGAGAGAATGAGAGAGAGAGAGAGAGCACATGAGAGGGGGCAGGGTCAGAGGGAGAAGCAGACTCCCTGCTGAGCAGGGAGCCTGATGCAGGACTCGATCCGGAGACTCCAGGATCATGACCTGAGCCGAAGGCAGTTGCTTAACCAACTGAGCCACCCAGGTGCCCCAGCAGAGCATTTTTAGACAATCTCTTGGGGAATATTCCTCAGAGGTTTTATATATATATTCTTTTGAAAATCCTCAATAATGGTTTATATTCATCCAAGTAAGTCTAATTTCTGGATTAGCCAAAAGATATGTAAATTCAAGCCTGGTGAATAAGGTAGGTGATCAGTAACAACAATTTTGGTCCCAAACCTGATATTCCCATTAAGTAATGATCACAATTAATCTTAAATTCTGAAAGTCATTCCCAACAAGGAATACTGATAGTTTCTACAAAGGCAGTAGCTATTTGAAAGACAACACAGGGGCGCCTGGGTGGCTCAGTTGTTAAGCGTCTGCCTTCGGCTCAGGTCATAATCCCAGTGTTCTGGGATCGAGTCCCACATCCGGCTCCCTGCTCAGCGGGAAGCCTGCTTCTCCCTCTTCCACTCCCCCTGCTTGTGTTCCCTCTCTCGCTGTGTCTCTCTCTGTCAAAAAAATAAAATCTTAAAAAAAAAAAAAAAAAGACAACACAAAAGTACAATTGACCCCTGAATGATGTGGGGGTTAGGGGCACCACCATCCACTCCCCGAGTAGTTGAAATCCACAGATAACTTCTCACTCCCCGAAAACATAACTACTAATAGCCTACTGCTGACCAGAGGCCTTACCAATAATATAAACAGTTAACACATATTTTGTATATGTATTATATATTGTATTCTTACAATAAAGCGAGCTAGAGAAATAAAATGTTAAGAAAATCATAAGGAAGAGAAAATGCCTTTAGAGTACTGCACTGTATTTATCAAAAACAATCTGTGTACAAGTGGACTCATGCAGTTCAAACCCATGTTGTTCGGGAGTCAACTGTATACATTCCACTGTGTGTGTTTAAAAATACAAGTCTGTAATTACAGTTAGAGACCCCTCCACTTTTTACGAAGGAACACTGGAGAGCTGAATTTCTAGTGCTTACCAGGGTTTCATTTTTTACCATTGCTTGAAGCCAGTTGAAGTCAACACTCTTAAATAAAACAGCAACAAACAAGTCATTGGAATAATATTCAACGTCAGACAGTGGCGCGCCCTCTGGATAAGTCATCCTGATAGTAGTTTTATTACCAACATGCTCGGAATATCCCTCAACTGGTGCACTGTTTAACCTATTTAAATAAAAAGGACAAAGATAAGTTGACAAAGCAAACCATCAACTACTTTATCACATCATGCAAGATCCCTTCGTTGTGTCCCACACATGTTTATAGGGCTGGGAGGAAGCTGTGGGTTGGGGGTAAGGCCTCCCTCCTGGCAGCCTCAAGTCCCCAAGGGACGCCCACACCTCCTCTCTGAATGTCAAGCAATTCCATCCAGTCCTACCACTTTAAGCCAACCCAAACATTGTATTTTGGGCTTTCTCTGGGCATCAGCAATGTTTCCTCGAAAGCTTCCCGCTGTGCTCAGATATTAGGAGTTCTTGCCAGAATTTCAGAAAGGTAATCAGAAAGGAAACCAGGGCGAGGCAGACCCAAACCACAATTATATTGACAGGGTTGGGACCAAGGAGGGCACTGGGCCCAGGTGCATCCTTAAAGCAAGGACTTGGGACACTTAAAACTGTTAGATCAACAAAGGCAAGATCTTACCAGCGTGGTTGCTTTGGGGCAGATTCTAAGAATTCTTCTGAAAGCACTACCACTCACCCAGTTAAAAGAGTTTTGTAATCTCAAAGTCTGTTTGGTTCTTCCCTTGTATTATCACACCTGTATCTCGGCTTTCTTCTCTAGTCCACTGCCACTTCTTCTAGATCTGATACCTACCTCTGGATTATCTAAAGATATTATTACACATGACAACCAAATGCAAGGCATGCCCCTGAGGCAGTTATCCCCCCCGCTTCCCCTTTCTTTTCTTTTTTAAAATAAAGGACATTATCAGGGTTGTTGGTGAAATCTGGATAAGGACTAGATAGGGCCTGTATTTTCTCAGTGTTCGTTGCCTGGTTCTGCACAGTGTTCTGTGGTTCTATAGTTCTAGAATAGAGTCTCCTTGTCCTTGGGAAATGCACACTGACTTATTTAAGGGTAAAGGGGCTTGATATTTGCAACTAACTATCAAAGGGTTCAGAAAAGAATAATAGTATATATAAAGAGAAAATCATAAAGCAATGTAATAAAGTTGGAGAATCTGGGGCAAGGGTGAATGCGCGGTTCTTTGTACTATTCTTGCAACTTTTCTGTTAAATTTGGAATTGTTTCAAACCTAAAAGTTACCTCCCAAAAGCTTCTTAACTGATATTCTCCCTCATCATCAGGCTAAGCCACCATTCCTCTGTCCCCAGCACTCGGTGGCCTCCCAGTGGCCATGCATGAAGTCCATGCTCCCCAGTCTGGTGATCTGTGCGCCACCACTGGGCATCAGGCCACCTTACAGCCCCTTCCCCACTCTCCCAGCCCCACTCTCCTTGTAGTGAGCAAAATGGAATCTCTCCTGTCAAGCAGGGGCCTGAATCAAGCAATGACGCAAGCAGGTAAGGTACTGCAGCTAGGAGAGACCAGCGTCAGCTGAACCCCCAGAACTGATAACAAGCAGAACCAGAGGAGGTCTGCGGGGGCCCGAGACCAATAAAATCCCTTTAAAAGGGAAAGGATTTTGACAGCAAACTGTTAGACTCCTCAGACCTGACCCCTCTACGTCTGACCACTTGAAAAAGGCAACTGCCGGGGAAGGCTCTGCCCGAATGATCTCCGAGCAGAACCGAGAGCCTTGGCTGCTGGAACATCAGAAAGCAGGAAGTGCCGAGAGCTGACCCGGACCAGACCGAGGCTTTATCTCAACTGCACCCCACAGACTGACTTTGCGTTTAGTTCGTTCACTTCCTGCACCCTTCTGTTAGCTTGTTTGTTGTGTGGTTCGTCTTCTCTCCTGCTTTGTGTGCTGTGTAAGAAGCCAAGTTTAAGCACATGTGAATTATCATCGAGTCTGGAATCCTGAACCTACTTTCTTTTTTTTTTTTTAAAGATTTTATTTATTCATTTGAGACACAGAGATACAGAAAGAGAGAGCATGAGCAGGGAGAGAGGCAGAGGGAGAAGGAGAAGCAGGCTCCCTGCTGAGCCAGGAGCCCGATGTGGGGCTCGATCCCAGGACCCTGGGATCATGACCTGAGCCGAAGGCAGATGCTTAACCATCTGAGCCACCCAGGCGCCCCAATCCTGAACCTACTTTCTTTTTCTGAATCTACTTTCTAATCGTGATTTACTTTGCTTCGTGATTGAATAAAGCTGACACTGGGGGAAAGACACACTCGTGTGTGTGCCTCCAGAGCGTGCTCCTGACACTCCTGCAATAATAGGGCAGGGCTCCACACCCGAGATCTCGCTGCCTGCCTCCTGCCTGAAGCGCCCAATGCCACTGTTTGGCAAGGCCCCCCTTCCCTCCCACCGCACCTCTCCTCGGGCCCAGGGTGAGCACCAGTGGCACCCCTGGTTTCTCTCCGCTCCTCTTCCCGCATCAGTCACACACCGTTAGATGGGCACGGGGCCCCGTCTGCCCGCGCACACATCTTTCAGCTGCTCGCACGGGCCCAGGGCTTAGACTCGGAAAGCCTCCACCTGCATTTGGACTGCTGCCATCTGGCCTGGACCCTGGGCCCTCTAGGGCCTCAACGTCTTCACTGGTGACATAACAGAGACGGCTTCCCGGAGGAAGGGGAACCTCCAAAGCACGTGACGCAGTGTCCGGCACATGGAAAGCATCCAGTGAAAGGCAGTGGTTACAGCCTCCTTCACCCCAACCTTTACAGTCCTCATAGCCCAACCCCACTCCTGCTCCTTCACCTCACACCATGCCTGCTTTCTGGCCACTGGGGCCTACGGCACCCCTTTTACCTTTAAACTAGGCTCTTACCTGTTTCTTCTATCTCATGGCTTTTACAAAAATCTGGTTCTTTCCTACAAACCCCTTACGCCCCCTGCCCCCTCCTCCGGAGCCCCCACCTTCCTACACATTTCCCAAAAATAGGTGCTAACATTTATCGAGCAATTTACACTAAGTTCTAAGTGCTTTACATCTGTGAACTCATTTTGTCTTCACGGTAAGCCTAGACTATGTGTACCGTGACTGCCTCCAGATGAGGAAACGGAGGCACAGGACAGTTAGGAAACTTGCCTGAGATCACAGCGACTGGGGACAAAGGCATTATGTGAACACACCACGTTTAGGCTCAAAGTATCTGAAATGGATCTTGTCATCCTCCCTCACTAACCTGAGATTTTCCCCAACTACTCCCATTTCTGACAGCAGTTCCACTAACGTCTGAGACCCCCAAACTAGAAATCCTGGTGTCCCCTGACGTTAACTGTCAGGCTGTCAGAAAGTCCTGTAATTTACTTTCTCAATATACCTCTTGGAAACACACTAGTCTCCATTTCCACTTTCTCCGCCTCACATCAGGCCCACACACTGCATGCACTGACCACAACCTCGAAACCCAGTCCCCGGCTCTAGCCTCTCCTGCCTTCGGTCAAACTCACACACTCCTGCTGAACAAATGCGATGGAAGACCCAGCATGCACTGTACTCCTGGTTCTGCACTTCCTTCTGATAGGGAGAATTTATTAAAATGCCTCAAGAGCCTTAAAAACAATGGAATATCTTTAAGCCAACAATTCTAAGGATTCTTAGAATTATTTCCAAGGAAATAATCAGAGATAAAGACATAAGTATGAGATATGCAAGGCATTTTCACAATAACAAAGAAACTGAAAAATTCAAAATATCCAGCAACAGTAGAACAGTTAAATCACTTACAATACTCTCATTTAAAGGACTACTAAGCACTTGGAAGAGTTAATTTTCCAAGAAATATTTAATGGCCTCAGAAACTGTTTATAATATTATGTTAAAAAAGCAAAACACTTGATAAGAATATAAATGCACTTGTTAGTATGTGTATAGAACAAAAGTGGAAAAAACACAACAAATTAATAGCGGTTGGTTCTCTGGGCTCTGAGGGGTTATTTTCTTCCTTACATTTTTCTGTATTTTTTTTTAATCTTCAAGAATGAACATATTTTGCTTTTATAAGGAAAACAATTTTTAGCCAGTGAAACCAAAAAGAATCTAGGATGAGTGGAGTACAGGCTGCGTGCGTCCTAGATCTCCGCCGGCCCGGCCTCGCGGGGCGCACCCACACCCAGCCCTGCTCCCGGAAGCCAGGCATCCCACCAACTCACCCCCCAACCCCCACACCGCGTGCGCCTCTTGGTCCTGCCTAGCTCAGGCTTCCTCCTGAATCTACCCAGCCTTCCAAACCTCACCTCCTCTTCAAAGGTTCTGCCAAATTAGGGTCAGTGTGGCACAGTTTGGGGCATCCAATCATTTCATGTTTTTGTTTCAACGTCTCAAGCAGTAAGCCCCCTGCAGGCAGGGACTTAAGGCGCTCCCCGCGTTCCTCACTGTTGCTGGTTCGACGAGGACCAACAGCAGTGAGGTAAACTCTGGAGGTGAACCCATGTACCTTATCACAACATCGAACTGGTTCAGGGCATGGCCCAGCACTAGTCCGTGGAGTATTCCGCCACTTCCAATAACCACACAACGCCTACAGCTCTTGGCTCTCAAGTGTTCAGGCAGGTCATGCTCAGGCAGTATTTCCAAGAGGGTCTGGACTTGACTGGAGAACTGCCGGAATCCGAAAGGAGGATTGTACTTGTACTCGGCTTCATTCACTTTGGGGGCCTCCTTCACGAAAGGTGGCAAGTCCGGGCTGTACCTGTGTTCAAACAACCGCGCCATCGACTTCTTCGCAAACTTGGGCCGGCACTCCTTTTGCAAGACTTGCTGAGCGTATTTCTGAGCTCTCTGGAATGAAATCACATCAAGCTGAGTTGGAGAAACTCTCAGGCATTAGAAATATCCTCTTACAGATGACACTGTGTCCTGTGATGTCTGATAGAGCTCCCTGTTGAGTCCTGTCTTTCAGCATAAAACGTCTGCTTTCTTAGAGTTAACTGATGCTCAGAAACGTAAAGAAATAACCTGGGAGAATCACAGGACAGGGAAATAAACTCCACAAGAATATTTACTTCATTATACAAGGAAAGTATGTCTTTGTACCCCCACCTCCTACCCCTAGCCTAAGCTTGTTCTCCAAATAAATTTGGGGTGAGATACATACTTTGAAGTATCTCACATTGTATAAAACCCGTCACATGCTACCACATGGATGAACCTGAGAACACTGTACTAAGTGGAAATAAGCCAGTCACAAAAGGACTATCTGACTGCACTTATGTAATAAGGTCTCTAAAGTACTAAAATTCATAGAACAGAAAGTAGAATGGTGGTTGTCAGGGACTGGGGGGGTGGGGGGGCAGGGGCAAATGGGGAGATGCTGTTTAATGGGTCCAGAGTTTCGGTTCTGCAATATGTAAAAGTACTAGAAATCTGTTTCACAGCAATGTGAATACACTTAACAGGGTCAAACTGTACATTAAAATACAGTTGAGATGATAAGTTTTATGTGTTTTGCTTTTTTTTTTTTTACCATAATTTAATAAAATTTCGTATTTCAGGTTCTTATCTAGCAGGATGAGAAACAGGCTGATTTATCAGTTGGGCAATGAGCTTCATGAAGTTTGGAATGCAAGTTATTCTAAATGTAATCAGGGCACAATGTCATGTCAACATAGAAGTGGCCTTGGTTTTGTATACGATTTTCCCTGCACATTAATGCTTTGCCTCCACAAGGAACTACTGCTGAAGGCCAAGTACAGTGACCCAGCTGAATGCAGCACCCCTCGGAGGGACAGGGTCCAAAGGCCCACTGGCCCCCCGCTTCCTCCTGGCTCAGTCTGGCCGGACGCGGCCTCACAACCGCTTGGCCGGCAGTTCTCCCTCATCGTTGTGCTTTCGGTCCTTATCTCCACATTCAGCAGCGCTGGCCCTGCCTTTCCCCTCCTCCCACCAGGCTATCTTCACACACACGCGTGTACCCATGCATGCGTGTATATGTGTATGAAGTCCCAGAGTTCCTGGGATATTTAATTTTAGGACAGAATGTGTCTTTTAAACCAGGTCTATACTATAATGAGAATTACTACTGTTACATGTTATTTTAAATGTATGCCCCAACTATGTTTTTCCTCAAAGTTCTATTATTTTTATGGTCTGGTTTTTGAATAACGGATATTTTTGTAGGAAAACACCTATCTTATTATAGCAGAAGGCCCCCTGCTCCTCCCTTCTGAAGTTACAGCTTCAAAGAGTTATTAGTAGCTGGTAAAAGCACACTGTCTGCATCTTGAGGACGTGGCCCCGTTTCTGAAAAGGGGAACCGATACTCTCTGAGCACAGATGAGGCTGCAGACACCATACGCAGTCACGGTCTCAGTCTCCCGTCACCAAATCTCCCACACTTTAAAATATGGCCGTTCGTCTCCTCACTTTGTGGGCTCAAGGGGGCATAACCAGTTAGAGGGCCGAGCTGGCGCTAACCCAGTCTGATGACTTCCCGAATGCCTAAAACCGCAGCCTCTGTCTACACAGAGCAGCACACAAACACCACCAGAGAGAACAAGAGTTTAAATACGAACCGGTATCTTTGTGAGCAATCAGTGAGAAAGCCACGCAAGGACCAGTCGTGACCCTGAGCAGCACCAGAACGGAAGGCCTGCCAAGCCCACGTCACTCCGCAGCCCGTAGAGGGCCACCCACACCGCACTCGTCTGTCCCCAGACCCGAGGCCTGAAGGTTATGAACAGCAAGTCTTACAGAACAAGAGGTTGAATCTTTCGCTCTAGAACGACATGTCAAGCATCTGGTGTTGCAGATCTCCTAGGACAGAAATGAACGTCTGAGAAGTGCCCGGAGGAACCCAGAGCAGCTTCGGGATCGACGCATGACTGGAAAGAGAAGTAGGTGATCAAGCCAGAAACCTGGGCTCAGCTATCCTGGGCTGCCAAATTTCCTCTTTACAAGTTTCATTTGGAAGGAGGGAAATTTCATTCCATTTCCATTCTGGCAAAGAGCTCCATTTCAGGCTTCAGACTTAATTTTCTAGGCTGGGTGCAGCACAAGGCTTAGTAATCACCCTCTGACCGTGACTCACTCACAGCGGGGTGCAATACATCAATCCGGGGGAACGAGTGTTTGGAACACCACTGGAACCGTCTACGGCGACGGTTCTGTCTCCTTCTGTCTCACCTCATTTAGAGACGTGTAACAAGCCCTGAGAAAGCCCTGGGGAGCGTTTCTTCTAACCAGAAGCTGGTCCAGCCTCTCTCCTGCCTCCTCCATGCCTGGAAAGCCTGGGGAGGAGAAGCTCGCCTCGCGGAGCCGTGACAAAGAAAGGACTGTGACCGTCTGCTTCCCCCTGCTGCAGAAAGCTCCAACCCTGGAAGCCGAAGCAGGCCGGAGAGGAAGGACGCGGAGGGGTCTGGGTGGCATCCATCCAGGGTGAGGGCCACGGGGGAGCAGAGAACCGGAGACTCTCGCAAAGATACAGGAACTCCCACTTCTCTCAAACCAAGGCATGGAAACGAGGGCTTCGGTTTTTACAAGCCTTCCAGGCTGAGCTTTCTGGCTGCCCACAACGAAGAATAAACAGACAGCTGGTAGTTCCAATTGTCAGTGAGGTGGCCATTTGCCACGGGAAACCACCATGTGACAATTCACCGAAGGGTGTTTAAAAAAATCTAAGTAATTCTCCTTGGCAAAGTCTCCACTTTCATTTCTACTGCATAACTTCTACGACAGTACTTCTCAGAAATGTAAGTAAATGGCATAATTCTTCGTAAAAGGCAATGTTCTCTTCTCCTTCTTTAAATCCGTGACAGGGCACAGCACTGAGGCTGAGGCAGAGTTTGGGGGCTGGAGCTAAGCAAACCGGGGTGGGCGCCTGACTCAGCCACAGGCCACGTGAACGGAGGGCATGAGTTAGGTCTGTGAAAGGCCACTACTGCTCTCCTCCTCACGGGGCCGTTCTGCTGCCCCCCGCATTCTGCACTGTGCCCGAGACGTGTGAAGACTGGATACTATCACAGAAGAGCGACCGTGGGCAAAGCTACTGCCACCCTGAACTCACGTTCAAGTTAGCCGTCTAGAACCTTCCCCTGGCTACCAGCGGGGCAAAATCTGAATAACCAAGTCACAGAAAGAACACCACAGTAACACTCAAGCAGTCAGGGGCGGCCGGGGACTGGTGGCTGAGGGAGGGGGACAGACTACAACGGGTGAGGGAACTCACTTGGGTGAAGGACGGAAATGTTCTAAAATTGGACTGGGGTGATGGGGGTGTAACTATATAAACGCAGGATGCTATCAAACCGTATGCTTAGGAGGAGCAAATCTTACGATGCGTATACTTTGCCATGGTAAACGGTTAGGAAGAAACAATCAGAAGACCTGGACGCTAGACCCAGTTCCAGATCTATTAACCAGCAGTGTAGCCTTGACTGAAGCATCCAGCCCTTGGTCAAAGCTTCAGTTCCCTCATCTCTTACATTCGAGGATGGTCTGGGGCAAAGGGCCGGCGCTGAAGACAGGAAAGAACCAGTCTAGAGGTGTAGGCGCCTGGACTAAAAACTCAGCCCAGGTCACTATGCTTACCTTGGCTACGTGAGTGTAGATCTGCAGAGTCAGAGGGAAGTAAATTTGGCCATAATTAACTACACAGCATAAAATGCAGTCCCCTGGGTGGTATGTGGTTTTTAGCTCTCTGAGAAGAGAGAGGGCCTAGTTCAAACTGTTGCAACCATGTGGCCCAAACCTAAACTGACAGGAATGTGCCCTTGTCTCTCCTCAAACATCTTTTAAATGCAATTTCACATCTGAAATGCGCTTTCAAAGTGTCTAGATCCTGGCAGAGACCACTGTTAGTCTTTTTAAAGAAATGGCACATTAGGGGGGCATCTTTAAATAGAAAAGACAAAATCCACAACCACCACGGCCACACTTCTGCTGCTGTATTAACACAGGCCGGGTCCAGCACAACCAGACAATGCTGACCCCACAGGGTCAGCAGGGTCCCCTTAACACGGCAAGCTGCTGAATATCCTCAGCAGAGCTAACGGGGCCTCATGGCTTTGAGGCCATCTTCTGCTAACCTACATCCGCAACAATTCAGATCTGTCTACACGCTCTTGGTGGTAAAGACCAATCTCCACCAACAGCCTGGAGACAGGGTCTTCTTTGCAGAGAGCTCATACCACCTCACAGCCCTTGAGAACACCAGGACCACACCGGCCAGCTTCTGTGGCCGTTTCCTCTACTCTGGGGACTTGAGAGAGGGTTTCTGATTTTGCTTTAATGAAACATGACCAGATATCAAATTTGGGACCTGGTGAGTATGGCATTCAAGGCCTTTCCCTCTTTGGTCCTGGATCATTTTCAGTCTTCTATCCTGCTGTTCCCCACCCCAATCCTCAGTGATATCCAACTCCTGCTGTACGTCTAATTTGCAAAGCCCTGGAGAGCAAAGCTTTCTGCACACACTGCTCCCTCGGCCTGGAATGAAGCAGGACAACCTGTCAGGACCACTGTGAAAAGTGGGGCATTCTGACGGTGTCAACAATGTGAAAAAGCTATAAAAGAAGTCTCAAGTGAAAAGATAAAAAGCACCCCTAATTCCACCGTGGTTACAGCAGGCTTTCACTTTCTACTTTATTAATTTCTGAACTGACCAAGGCTTTCACAAACACGTTTGACTTATATCACTACTCCTGATTTTTTCTTCTTTCTCTAGAAACTACAAGAGACTTTCTACTTTATTCATTTCTGTATTACCTGAAGTTTTGGACTTATTTTTGTAACTGGAAAAAATAATGATCTTTTAGACATCTTTTATTTTTTTTTAAGATTTTATTTATTTATTTGAGACAGAGAGAATGAGAGAGAGCACATGAGAGGGGGGAGGGTCAGAGGCAGAAGCAGGCTCCCTGCCAAGCAGGGAGCCCCATGCGGGACTCGATCCCGGGACTCCAGGATCATGACCTGAGCCGAAGGCAGTCGCTTAACCAACTGAGCCACCCAGGCGCCCCTAGACATCTTTTAGAACTGGGTTGATGTGGCAGTCACTGTGGGCTGCCTACTGGGTCTCCATTTCCCCACTCCTTAGGGAACCGTAGTTTTGTGCAGGAAGCTAATAGCACTTCTCCAGGCAGGCAGTGGGGCCTGGGAGGCTGACCTTGCCCATCAGATACTCCCATCCCCCTTGTCAGGGACTGGTCAGGAATCCTCACTGCAGCCAATCAGGGCAGGGCACTGGCAGCCCTGAGAGACTGTTATTGGTCCCACAGTGAACTTAGGTTTAGAAACTGACGCCATCAGCCTAAATGGAGGACTCCTATTTCATGGTTTAGGGGAAAGGGGATGGCGAGATTCTTTTTTTTTCCTGTCTACTATCCACTGGTGGATATGAGGAGAGTTGAACAGAAACTATCTGACCTATTCCTTGAAGGGATATTAAACTTAATGTACATTACAGAAAATACTCAAAGAATTGCCTGTTATTTAATTGTGGATTTTCTATTCAATTGGAGTTCAGAGATGAGACACCACACCATGGTTCAGTAATATCTCCCCCCCCTCTGGAGTTGAATATACCTAAGTACATATTCATTAACACAAAATGTTAGCACACAACCCCATCTCCCAAGGGCTTGCTTAAAGGACAAGTGGGAAAGACAGTTAAAACATTGCAGTGTAAGTGTTAGGATTAAGGTATGAAGGCGCTTCTAGAAGACAGAGTAGGATGATCAGAGAAAGCTTCTTAGAAAAGGTAACTCCTGAGCTGAGAGTTGATGTAAAAATTAGGAGCAGAGAGGCCAAGGGAGGGAAGGGCTCCAGGCAGTGAAGTTAGAAAGAACACAGCAAACATAGGGGAAAGTCTTTTCAACAAATGGTGCCAGGAAAACTGGATATCCACATTCTAAAGAAAAAGGTTGGACCCCAACCTCCCACCATATACAAAAACTAACTCAAAATAAATTAAAGACCTACATTTAAGAGCTAAAACTATAAAACTCTCAGAAGAAAACATAGGCTCAGGCAATGATTTCTTAGATATGACATCAAAAGCACAAGGAACAAAAAGGAAAAAGAGATAAACTGGACTTCACCAAAATTAGAAAATTTTGTGCTTAAAAAAAAAAAGAAACTTTTGTGCTGAAAATGACACCATCAAGAAAGTGATGAGACAATCCACAAAATGGGAGAAAATACTCGCAAGCCATATATCTGATTAAGGGACTGGCAGCCAGAATATGTAGAGAACTCTTACAACTCCGTAATATAAAGACAAATAACCGTATAAAAAAATGGACAAAGAACTTGAATAGCCATTTCTCCTTAGAAGACATACAAATGGCCAATGAGCACACAAAAAAAGAGGCTCATCATTAGTTACCAGGGGAATACAAATCAAAACCATAATGAGGCAGAAAGAAAGAAGCAGTGCTGGGCCACAAAAGGAGGCTGAAGAGCCTGGCAGGAACCAAGGCACAAAGAGCCCTACAGGCCAGACTCAGAAGTCTGGATATTCTAAAGGTAATGGGAACAAATCAGAGTTTGAAACCAGGACACACCATACCGGATTCAATTTTTGGAAATATACTACCGCCATAGTGGGGCATGTCTGGATGCAGAAAGGCGGGTAAGGAGACATGAAACTGGGGCAACGGGTGGGAGCAGAGGAACTGGAGCATCATTCCTGTTCCCAGAATCCCAGAAACTGTCCATTTTTATAAACACCATCCTTGTTTTCTTTTTTTTTTTTTAAAGATTTTATTTATTTATTTGAGAGAGAGAGAATGAGAGACAGAGAGCATGAGAGGGAGGAGGGTCAGAGGGAGAAGCAGACTCCCCGCCGAGCAGGGAGCCCGATGCGGGACTCGATCCCGGGACTCCAGGACCATGACCTGAGCCGAAGGCAGTTGCTTAACCAACTGAGCCACCCAGGCGCCCCCCATCCTTGTTTTCAAATAACTTCTATTTTAGATGAGACAACAAAACACTTAGGTAAATTACTGTATCAAATGGAGTTTCAAAGTACGGTTGAGGTGCAGCGTCGAAGGCACTGAGTTGGGGACCAGCACTGAGAGCAGGGAAGAAACGAGCCTATCCTTTCCAGCCCGGTACTGATAAAATTACAGACAACCACACTTTCAGGGCTGGAAGGGATCAGAAAAGCCCTTGCGCCACCGACTGTCTGATGCCTAAATTCTATCTACAGGACCAGTTACCCTGGCTTTGCTTCAAGAGCTCCAGAGATACGCCACAAGGGCGGCCCATTAATCCCATCTTCTGATGCCTGGGACCATCGCCTCCTTCTCCTTTCAGCTGGGCTGCCTTTCCTGGATCCGCACGTCCGTCACTAAGGCCACCGGGGCGGAGCTGCCCCTCCCGGAGGCCCGCAACTGCCACGTGCCCTGCACCAGGCCGTCTGTCCTGCCGGCTACGCAAATGTTCCCATCCCTTCCAAGGCTCCTCGGGGACATAGTCTTGAGTCTCTTCTCTGGTCATCCTCAGGAGTCACTGGGACTCCTTGGGGAACCTTCCAGAGTAATAGCCGTAATGATCAGAGCACCTGTCTGAGCTCTGCAGGGATGAGCAGACCATCCCTGGGCTATTAATGTCACTTATGGGGAGCAGCTGAAGGCAGCCACAACACAGGCCGATGCAGACGGCGCTGGCCAGGCCCAAAAGCTGCAAAGCTGATTTTACCCCTGGTGTTACTACAGCCCATCTTCTCCATCTTGGGCTTGTGAAATGGCGGGCTGGACCCCGGCACGCCAGGGCTCCTGCCTCTCCTCAATTAACCCGGTGTCGAGAGTGGTTATCTTTGCAGTCGGTCAGACGGTCCGTAGCGTGACCAAGTGGGCAGGAGAAAGAGGCCGCAAAGAGAAGGCGGACAAGCACGGCGAAGAAGCAAAGGCAGGAGTTCAGGGCTGTCGGGACGTCTGCAAGGCCAGCCGGGGAGGGAGGCGGGAGGCCCGAGCAGAGGCACGGGACACGTCCTGCTCCACCAGCACGGAGGGGCTGGCGCTGGCGGAACGGAGAGCGGAGAGTGGCAGCCAGCCTCCGGGGACGGCCCCGCGCGGGGAGGCAGGCCCTGCGAGACGCGACGGATCTGCAGGGGCCACGCTGCGCATTCGTTCTTTACACTCTCTTCGCCTGCCTGTCCCTCAGCACAGGTGAGAGGCTGCTTCGCAGGACGTAGAGACTGAGGGAAAAAACGCGTGACTACAAACGACTGGCAAAGGAGCTCCGTGCACGTTATCTTATTCAACTCTGAGGGCCGCCCTGTCACACGGATGGTGTTGTCTGCATCTCCGCGCTGAGAAAACTGGGACTCAAAACAATTAAGAAACCTGCCCAAGGTCTCGTCTTTGACTAAGTGGCCTTTAGGCTTGAATCTAGGTCAGAAATGTAAGGTCCCTCCTCTCTGCATCAGCCGACCTATAACTCCTGGCTCCTTCCGTGGCCCTCCCCTACCCGGGCAGCGAGCAGGCAGCAGGGGCTTGGACTCGAGACCGCGCTGCTGAGTCCAAGGCCTGGCTCCACCGCGGACTAGTGAAGGTGACCTCATACAGGCCGCCTAATCTCCCCGTCCTTCCGTCGCCTCAGCTGTGAGGTAATGACAGTTCCAGCTACGAGGGTTAAATGCGTTTACAGTGCTGAAGCACTTTTAGAATAGCCACACGGTATACATTAAGCTAGATTAACTGAACTGGTTAACTAAACTAGATGTGGACTTGGGCAAGCAGCTTAACCTCCCAGCCTTCATCGGTCAGAATACTGGGCTATCGCCCCATCGTGATGATAACGCGCCCACACACGTTGGTCACCATTATCGCCATGCTACCTGACTTCAAATCATCTCTTCTTTCATCCAGGACGGAACGTTACTGGATCATCTAACCACGCACATAACCCGTGAAATGAGCATTTAACAGGTCAACTGATTTAGAAAGATAAATACAAACTGAAAAGGAAAAAGCTTGAAATACAGTGTGAAATCGTTAAAATGAAAAGAATGATGTGACACCAAAAGAACTTGCCCCTGTTCTAAGGACGTGTGGGCCATTAACAGCACAGCAAGCCAGCCCCACGGCAGGTGCCTAGAGTGGGTCAAATGCAACTCACCTCCCCCGAGTGACTTCAGTACATGGAGGAAGAATACTGTGGGGCGGGTGGGTTGGTTATTTGTTTTGCTGGGGGGGGGGGCTGTCTCTGATTTTGGGGCCCCTAAGATGGAGTGTTTTCCTTCTGTTTATAACTTTCCTGAGGACTCGTTTATAACCCTTTAGAGATGATATTGCTGTTTAAGTATAAGCTTGGAAATACTTTAATTTAAACCACACCAATGGCATATCTAACCTTTACACGGTCCGGGTCCACATAATGCATTTTTTTCATGTCACATTCTTCAGTAGTATAATTTAACTTGAGAATATAAAGGATCCACACTCCAAACACAAGCAATGTACACCTGGAAAAAAAATCAATTAGGTATAATGATGCAGTTATGTGATAATCAAGAGAAATCATGTGAAATAAGGGAAAACCTACCCCAGCTTGAGTTTGCCTGCCAGGTAACATGAAAGTACAGCCTTTAAGGGGACCTTCGTGGCTGACTTAAGGCACCATTTCTTACTTTCCTGACAAGAAAAATTAGTCATTTACGACTATCTTTGTTATAAGTGAATACAGAGAAAACATTTTTCTGCAAAGGCACCCTAATAAAATATGAATCACAACGCAGACCACTGGACTTTACAAGACGCCCAACCGACTGAGCCACCCAAGTACCCCCAGAAACCTCATTTTTAATAAGTTCTCTAAGTGATACTGATAAACTAAAAGTAAAAAAAAAAAAAAAAAGTTTAAACCTAAGTTTAGGAACCATTGTTTTAAATAATTTGTGTTACTGAAAAAAGAGTTAAGGAATAACCTTAATGGGAAAATGATCCCTTTTGTAAAGGAAGGGACAGTTTAAAAAACACAGCATCTAGCACAATAAACTATACACAATAGATGCTAAATTATTTCTTAATATTTAAGGATGATGCAAGAAACTATTGCTAGGAAGTGTTTTCAAGACTTCTTGATTCTTGGGAAGCCTGGGTGGCTCAGTCGGTTAAGCAGCTGCCTTCGGCCTGGGTCATGATCCCAGTGTCCTGGGATCGAGTCCCACATCGGGCTCCTTGCTCAGCAGGGAGCCTGCTTCTCTCTCTCTCTCTCTCCCTCTGCTTGTGCTCTCTCTGTCAAATAAATAAAATCTTAAAAAAAAAAAAAAAAAAAAGACTTCTTGATTCTTCTTTCAGTAGGCTCTCCCATGAAAACCTGAACAAGCATTCTAATTTTCCCCTGGGATGGAGTACAATGTTAAGCGAATAGGATGCTACCATCTGTGTAAAAGCAGGGGGTTAGTAACACACACACACACACACACACACACAATTTCTTATGTACACAAGACTGGTAATACTGGTTACCTTTAAGTGGGGGGCAGGAAAGAGAGGATATTTTACTGAGTACTTTTAATATCTTCTGAATTTTAAATCTTGTGAATATAGTATTACCTATCCTTCTCCCCAGCCCCCCAAAAAGGCATTACATTTGGTGCATATAATTCCCTTATCTTGATTATGAAGAAACAAGGAAGGAAGGAAGGAAGGAAGGAAGGAAGGACGGACAGTATGTTAAAAGCAGGCCCGGTACCTCCAGCACTGAGGACACTGCACTGGAATGCCCGGTCGTGAGTCTGTCGTGCCCACATTGTGCGCAGCGTGGGCCCAGGTCGACCTCGTTCACTGCCATGGGCCGGCATCCCACACAGTGCTGGGCATGTCAGGCCTCAGTAAATATTGGTTGATGACAAAAGGAGATGGAAAATAATAATGTACATTTCCTTTTTCTACTTTCCTCTTTCTACACCCCCTAAATTAGGGGTATTTTCAAAAGGGTGATTTTTTTTTTGTTTCTCTTTTTTTAAAGATTTTATTTATTTATTTGAGAGAGAGAGCACGAGCAGAGGGTGGGGGGCAAGGGCAGAGGGAGAGGGGGAGGGAGAAGCAGGGCTTCTCTGAGGTGCGTCTCGATGCCAGGACCCCACAATCATGACGTGAGCTGAAGGCAGACACTTAACTGACTGAGCCACCCAGGCGCCCCGAAAGGGTGATTTTCAACTTGGTTTGGCTGCTACCAGATGCAACCACCAAGTCCCTCCCTTAACAATTCTACCACTTATTAGGATATAAGGGTGACCTGGCTGACACACCTATCATCTCTTTTAGTGTTCAATATTTAAGGCTCTTCAAAGCTGTAGGGGACTTTAATTAACCGTATTTTTAGATGAACTTGAAATGGCTAAGGGGAAAAGCCCCCTTTCATTACGTAACGGCAGGGAGCACTGTGCACGTTTAAGAGCCGCTCTCTCAGGCACTGAGGCTCAGGAACAGAGCCTGGGCGCTCCCTGGCTGGTGCTGCCCTCTCAAGAAGTACAGCCTGATGCATAAACCCAGACGTCTGTGTATGGAACCTGCACCTGAGTGTGCCTTTATATGACCTTTGGACCAAGTATGAGAGCCATCCTTCGGGTCCTACTGCATTCTTCTCCCAGCTCCCCACAGCTGACCCGGCCAGGGGGGTCATAAGGCCCAAGGGCTCATACTTACTTTAGGATGTCTTTTATCAACAAGTTGGGTCTTCTCATCTTGTTTTGAGCTCGGGTGTACCATTGCAGAGAGGGTCTTGAGCGATCGCTTCTCAGTTTCACACAGTTATACTCACTGGGCATTGCTGTGAAAGAGAGGAAGAAGCCAGGGCAGGGAAAGGAGGGAGAGTCAAGCAGGTGATGTTTATAAAAAGCCTTTAGGGGGCACATCCATAGCATGGAATACTACCCAGCAACAAAAAAGAATGAACTAGTGATACACTCAACAACCTGAATAAATCTAAGGCAACTATGCTGAGCCAATACTAAAAGTTTACATGTTGTATGATTCCAGGTATATAACATTCTTGAAATGTCAAAATTATAGAAATGGAGAACAGATGAGCAGTTGTCAGGAGTTATGGAGGAGTGGGCTGAGTGTGGCTGGATCCTTGTGATGATGTAAATATTCTGTGTCTTGACTGTATCCCCATCAATATCCTAGCTGTGATAGTATACTATGGTTTTGCAAGATGCTGCCAGTGGGGGAAACTGGGATCTCTCTGTATTATTTTTTACAACTGCACATGAAACTACAGTTATCACCAAATTAGAAGTCTGATGTTTTTCAAGAGCCATTACCTTTTAGAGGTGCATACGAACTATTTACAGATGAAACAGGAGAAATGAGATTGGCTTCAAAAAAGTCAGGAAGGGGCTAAGAGTGCACGTGGGGGAATGAATAAAGCAACACTAGCTTTAAACTGATTAAGTGTCAAAGCTGGGCACTGGGTACATGGGGCTCTTTATACCATATTCCCAATATTCTCACGCTTTGTACATTTGAAGTTTTCCATAATTAAAAAAAGTTTAAAGAGGAAGTGTTACATTAAAAACAGAACAAAAGTGTTACACTAAGGGGAAAAAAATGGCAATTTTAAAAGATATTTTTCTTTAAAAATTATATGTTCTTGAGTATACTTGCCTATTTATTCTTTTGAATTAATTGTATTCTCAAGTTTTCAATTTCTAAATAATATTCTATGGGGTACCCTAGTAGAAATCGGTATGTCTACCCCTGCGTAAGTTTCCCCCTTCCTCTCAACTTGGTAAAACGCTGGATTTTTAGCTAGGTGCGTGGCCTCCCAGCATAAAGACTACATTTCCCAGCCTCCCTTGGAACTAGGTATGGCCTCATGACTAAGTTCTAGCCAATGGGATATGAGCAAAAGTGACTTGTACAACTTCCAGGGTGTATGCATTGGCATACACCTTTACCCCTTTTCCTGCTGGCTGAAATACTGACACGTGAGGAGCCCCTGTGGACCACACAGAGAGCAGACCACCAAGGGATGGTGGAGCAACAGCAGAGACGGGGCCTGGGTCCCCGGACAAGCCTAAGGACAGAGCCGCCAGTCCACCTTAGACTGCCTGCCTCTGGGCTGTCAGAAGATGGAGAAATAAACTTCTATCTTGCTTAAGCAATTGTTAATTAAAAGTGAAGTCATAGCTCAGCTAATCTAGGCACCTATTATAGTATGCTATTATGATAAATTTATATATTAAGAAACAGTATCTTTACTATAGTCTTTCAGCCAAGAGGCAGTTATATGTCATTATACACTTTATTTCCATTGAAGTGTCATTTCCTTTGAAAAAAATCTTTTACCAAATTGACGTTCAAGTAGTTTATGTTTTTGCTACTGGAAACAATCTCTCCCTCCACTCCAATTCTAACTGTGTAGCAAGAATTTTCCTAGATATGTATCCTTCTGAATAGTTTCAAAAAGACAGTGCCAAGGACCTCACCAGTAAACCCTTGCTGAAGAACAACTGAGACCTGGAAGTTTTCAAACACCGCAACTTTGGGGTTACTTAAACGCATGGCCAGCCAAGTGGTGGGAACCAGCAGGCTCCCTGTAACCAGTACATATATAAAACAGACATTTCTAAGATGTCTGTGTTTTTACAACCAGAATGACATGCAATTCACCCCGAGGCGGACCTCCAGCAAACACAGTGACTGCGGTGTCAGAGGGGAGCCCGTCTCCACCTCTGCCTGTCTCTGTTGCGCTGGACAGCGCCAACCCCGCAGGCCGTCCCCGCAGGCCAGAAGCCTGTGAACCTCCTTTCCCCCACTGGCCCGCCCGATTCCTGCTGAGCTGTCACTGTGGGACTTCCTGGTAGAAGACAGGAGGAAGACAGGAGGAAAGCAGCAGCCTTTCCGGTCCCCTGATTCAGCACAGCCTCTGGCAGGGGCGGTGACAGTCACAGGCAAGAGAGGGTGACTACATGTGACTCCAGCAGCATCGGTGGGCATCTAGCATCATCGGTTTCCACTCGAGAGAAGTGATGGCACCTCCAACAGCTTTGTGACAAGTACAAGCCTCAGCCCAGGGTGACAGAAACTTCCTGATCTCTGGCTAACACTCCTACACCTCTTTTATAGATTTTATTTATTTATTTATTTAATTTATTTATTTGAGAGAGAGAGCGAGCAGGTGGAGGGGCAGGGAGGGAGGAGGGAGAGGGAGACTCTCAAGCAGACTCCAAGCTGAGTGTTGAGCCCAACGAGGGGCTCGATCTCACAACCCTGAGCTCATGACCTGAGCCGAAATCAAGAGTTGGATGCTTAACCAACTGAGCCACAAAGGCGCCCCTGGCTAACACTTCTTTCTCACTTTGGCATCTTCAGGTCTGCTGACGTCTTTGCGATCAATCCCCTGCATAAAAGCCCTCCTTGCCGGAAGCATCTCCACGGTTTCTGGTTTCCTGCTGGGCACTGACTGGTATATCAGATGATGCTCTCCTGCCACTTTCAGGAAAGTAGGATTGTTCAAGGAAAGGAGGGGCTCTGGGGGTGACAGAGTCTATCATCCTGAAATCCTTCCTCTTCTCACTATCACTGCCATACAATACAATCCATTCAAATGCTTAAAAATAAAAATAGCTGTTTTGGTTTTTTTTCTAATCACACTGGAGAGGATCGCAGGAGAGGGAGTAGAAGAACACAGAATCTACAGCCCGACACCTGGGCTCAGCTCCTCCCCCTACCAGTGGGGAAGCTTTGGGCAAGTCACTATAACTCCTGCAAGCTCAGTTTGCTCATCTGTAAAATGGGGGTGGTCATATTACCTACCCCATTGGATTCATGTAGGGAAAGTGGGTGCACATCACAAGCACTATGCACCTGCTGGTTGTCACTCCTATTACCACAGAAAAAGGGAACTTACAGGCGCCCAGTCTCATCTGACAGGATTCATCTGTTGGGGCTTTAAGGCTCTTGTGTCTTTTGGTCACCTTCACTTCCAGACACAGGTTTGACTCTAGCCTTATCATGGAGTAGTCCTTTCTTCCGTCCATCCCATTTCCCTCCCGGGTGTCTCTGGAGAAGCAACATCCTCCTGAAGCCCCTCACACACTCCCCCACGGTCAGGTCCTGGCCAGTATCCTCTATCCCCCCCACCCCCTTTCTCAACCTGCAGAACTTTTAAATGCTCAGGGTTCACTGGCCTCTCACCGTCCCTGCTCCCTGTGATGGCCGAGCCGCTCCCAGCCTGTCTACCTTCCTTCACTCCGTCTGCACACCATGCCTGGGATACCTTGCAACCACATTTCCTCTAAAACCTCTTGAACCTTCCCTTAAACTCCCACACGCACATCTTATGACTCCAGGGTCCTGGTCTCCACCACCAGCACAACCTTCTCGTCCCACAAATACTCACCGCAAGGCTTCACCATCTGCTTTTCACTCACTGCCTCGAGGGAGAGACCCCCCAAGCCCCTCTCTCTGTGCGGACCTCTCACCTAAGCTCAGACTATGCGCCCAACAACCTGCCTGCTATCTTCATCTCAGACAACATTACGAAGCAGAACCTGGCACTTTCCTCTATTCCTTACATTATTTGGAAGCTGTGCCATCCATTCAGCCATCCAAGGTGAAAACCTCTGTGACAGAGGTTTCCAACTCAGGCTTCTAACTTTCATTCCCAGCCCCGGTATCTCCAGGGTCTCTCGATCATACCTTCCTGAACTTCTCATGCCTATTGACATTCCTCCAGTGATCAAGTCCCTGGACTCCCTGTCTTGATTCTGTCTCTTCAAAGCCATCTTTCTAAAAAAAAAAAGTATCCTGGGGGTGCCTGGGTGGCTCAGTTGGTTAAGTAACTGCCTTCGGCTCAGGTCATGATCCTGGAGTCCCGGGATCGAGTCCCGCATCGGGCTCCTTGCTCGGCAGGGAGTCTGCTTCTCCCTCTGACCCTCCTCCCTCTTATGCTCTCTGTCTCTCATTCTCTCTCTCTCAAATAAATAAATAAAATCTTTAAAAAAAAAAAAAAGTATCCTGTTTAATGATTTCCAGCTCATCTCAGGTTTTATGACTCCAGGTGACAAACCCGTCACACTCTGGCCACACAAAAGTACTGTTAGAAGCCCAGATGTGCCAGATTGTTACCTCAGTGCCTTTGCACGTGATGGAATTCCAATGTGAACCCCAGCAATCTGCCTGGTGAACCACTTTTCATCCTTAAACCCTCTCCTCTGTGAAGATAATTTTTCAACACCATGGCCATCCCCGACACTTCCCCATCTTTGTTGATTGCAATGAGCTGACGTTGTCTGTGTATATTTTAGGTCTCCTCTATCATTCTGCAAGCACCTGGAGGATGAGCTGCAGGGCCAGAATTTTGTTTATCTTTGTATCCCCAACACCTAGGACAGGGCCTGGCACACAGCAGGTCCTTAGGAAACCTCTCGCATTGAGTGGAATGTGCGTTGCATGCCTGTAACCTGTCTTCAAACAAGGTAAGCATCCTTCAAAAATGTTATTTTCCCTAAAATGCCTAAGATAAAAACTGAAAGTTAAGGGGCTCCTGGGTGACTCAGTCGTTGGGCATCTGTCTTCAGCTCAGGTCGTGATCCCAGGGTTCTGGGATCGAGCCCCGCATCGGGCTCCCTGCTCAGCGGGAAGCCTGCTTCTCTCTCTCCCACTCCCCTCTGCTTGTGCTCTCTCTCTCACTGTGTCTCTCTGTCAAATAAATAAAATCTTTAAAAAACAAAACCCTGAAAGTTAACAGAAATTATAATAGCAAAGAATAAAGTATAAGCTCCACTGAAACATCTACAACGTCCAACAATAGGGAATCTG